ACTATTGCCGTTCTCGAGATATTTGCTTTACGCCAGTCCATACTTAATTCTGGCGCCGACAATAGTTGAAGATATCGCATGTACAAAAAAGCTTAGTGTTTGAGGAACATATGAAAGAAAACAAGCAGTCCAAAGTCCATACCATTGTCAACTAATCAATGGTGTAAACATCAAACTAAATGAGAGAACAGCTTAAAACAATGCTGACAGCATAATAATAGCTGATGTAAAAAAGAGTTCTTCATGTGCTGTAAACTGTTTTCTTAATATCTGGTCAAATATTATACGGTATTTTGTTGTTTTCGCTCGGTGACAAGTAACCAAAACAACGAGGAGAGTAATTGAAACAGTTTGGAGTAGGAATGGAACTACAGAATGAAGAAGTGTGGTCACTTAATTGTACTCAGCCATGGTAGGCTGCTATCTAAAGTTAATCGTGCATACTCTCTAAAAAAGAACCGTATCCCAAAAAACCCGTAGAGGGTTTCTGATACATCGTTAACCCGAAAAATCAACTATAGTAACACCTCGGATACTGATCTGTGAAACTGATTAAAGATTTTCGAGGTTCCGATCTTCTCCTTGTGAATCGAGAACAAACCTAAAGCGATAAATAATTATTTAATTTGCACACACAACTTACGACTTGTACGATGTTCATCCGAACTTCGGATGGAAGGACGAAATGATTAGTTTTTATATATAGAAATGAGATTTACCTTTTAGATGAATTCGTTGATGATCTAAAGCGGAAAATAAATTCTATCAGCTTTTAAATATTCGACAATTCTAGAAATATGATTCATTGGTCTTTTCAGAACGGTATACACACATATTGCTTGAATGCCACGTGAATGCGAATAATTTGTACATATGTTTGCTCAACTTGAAGCTTTTCATCTGATTTGAGAACTTTCAGCCGTATAGTATTTTATGAATAAATGAGCTATAATGATAATCTGAGTGCAGAAGCTTCTGATACTATCACTCTCGACAACTTTTAAAAATTGAAATGGCTATATAAAGTCGTTATTTTAATGCCATTTAATGGAATTACACAAGAATGAAAAATCATTTTGACACTAATACATAGGACACTACAAAAGTTTTTTCGTTCGGCTTGCCTAAAAGTCATAATTATTCAAAGTTTGAGCCTTTTGTACCTTACAAATTGTTGTGTTTTTACATTTCTTTCAAAGTAGTCATATGCCATATTTTGATCTGAATTTGGACTCTCTCAGTGCGAAGCAGACTCTGTAAAGTGTTCGATTATTCATTCACAAGCAAGAAACATGAGCTGGGTTGAAACTCTCGTGAGATAGAGTAGTTTTATCCTATATTAGATTTCCTTGTTGATACACCGTAAAGCTTCGTTTACGATTGCTGTAAACTATCACAGTAAACGATTGCTATTCTCTGTCGTAATTGATTATTATACAGTCATCTACGATCGAACATGATTGGCTTGGAGGCAATTCTCCAAATTAAGAAAATGTTTTAAAAATTAATCGAAACATTTCAGTCGTCGCCGATTAGTGCATCGACTACATCTTTAGTCGCGATGAAATTGAGAATGAAAAGTCAGAAAGTACTCGTTCAAACGCAGCCAGAAACACAAATTTTTTGAACTTCATCGTTTTTCGAGTTTCGAGATAATTAAAACAGAGACAGCAACATAAGTTAGCCATCATTCCCTTTGCTCATAGCTGGGACAACTATGAATACAGTTGATGATAGAGAATTAAACGATCAATCAATAGTCTTCATTAGAAACATGTTGATATCTATGAATAAAGTCCTCGTAGTAATGAATTTTGCAATGGCTACTTTACGATTCCTTCATGATTTGGAGTATCTGATTGGTCGAAACATGATTTTTCAAATTCATAGCGACAAAAGGAATGAAGGGTGAGTGTATTCATAATAACTTGACAACAGTAGCAATTAGCGATTTTCAGCAGTCACAAGAGGAGAACTCTAGAGATACTTTTATTTGATACTATATAAGACTAAAGTATTCTAAAACCCATAATCTTCGAAAAGCATTCAAAAAAACAAATGAAAATGGTCTTCGGTTGCGATTAAATTTTGATTTTGAAATGTGCTTCATAGATAGAAGGATTTGTCCAGATCTATAGCTCAAGGTATGATTCAAGTGCTTATCTTCTCGTATCTTAATGCTGAACAAATGAAATCACACATCTATTCGGTCAAATTATATAGAATTCTGCTGATTTTTGGCAAATTCTATGACTTTTTATCGAAATTTCCTTGAAACGAAACACCGTGTTCATGCATGTCTTTCAAGATTTTGAGAAGGTGATAAGTCTTTAAATAATTTTGCTTTATATAGAATGAAGGAAAAAGACATTCAGAGTTCTTCTCATTGTATTTTGTGAAAATCACAGGTTGCTAACTGTTGCTATTGTCGAGTTATTGACGTTACACCGACCTCTTTTTAACTATTGGACTGATATTGATGTCGAATTTTTTTTAAAGTAGTCTTCACGGTTTTTTGAATAACCTTTAAACGCTGTTATCTGTAGAGTTCGAGTGTTCGCCATTCAATAGAGCAAGCTAGGAGACGTCTAGCTGTATAAGATTCATTGGGCCAAAAAACCTTTTTCATGGTCTTCCATCAGCCGACATTTTTTCTAATGTTATGCTCCTGTAGTTCTCATGACAAACTATGATCAAATTATACCAGATTGTAGGCCTAAGAACCCTCTATTAACACTAAAATTTTGAAATTGTTTCAACGTTCTGTTGAGGAAGGAACACTTTTACACTGAGACCAAGAAATGCATGTTTGAGCGAATTTCACAAGGTAGTATAAGTTGTCGATTATGCTGTATTGAGGGTGTGGGTATGGTTTGGTATGTAGGTGTACATGTTTTGCCTCACACCCACACCCACTCTCACTCGCACTCTCACATTCACACCCATACACTAAAAACATAGTACTGTACAGAACCGTTTTTGCAAGGAAATTGAAATCTTTTTTAAGATTTCGTAAAAATACAAGATAGCTTCAAAATGATTGTCAAGGCTGTAGGAATAGTTTTTAAAGATTTCAAAAGCATCATACGAAACCTGAAAAAGGTTTCGATTTCGTTCCAAAATTCGAAACCTTTGTTAAGTTCCGTACGATGTACGAAACTTTTTTTAGGTTTGAAACTTCGTACGGAACCCTTTTTAAGTTTCGGAGAGCGCACGAAATTATCTTCGGTTTCGTATGGTCCCGTGTTTTTTTTCAAAGTATACCTACCCAAACTCCATACTCGTGTAACATTCTCGATGTATCAAATCTAAAAGTGCGTTAAGTTTGATAATCAATGGTGCTATCAAATCCAGCATAATCGAAAACTTATATTATCTTGTGAAATTCGCTCAAACATGCATTTCTCGGCCTCAGTGTAAAAATGTCCCTTCCTCGACAGAACGTTGAAACAATTTCAAAATTTTAGTGTAAATAGAGGGTTCTTAGGCCTACAATCTGGTATAATTTAATCATAGTTTGTCAGGAGAACTACAGAAGTACGACATTAGAAAAAATGTCGACTGACGGAAGACTATGAAAAAGGTTTTTTGACCCAATGAATCTTATACAGCTAGACGTTCCCTAGCTTGCTCTATCGAATGGCAAACATTCGAACTCTACAGATAACAGCGTTTAAAAGTTACTCAAAAACAAAGTGGAGGCTACTTTAAAAAAAATTGATATTAGTTATTGTTCAGCTTAAAAAAACTAAGTCCAAAAAATTTGTCTTTTTACGGTACTATTGATAAGTTAACAGAACGTTTTCGGAAAGATTGAAAACAAATAATATGCGCTCGATCTCGATAGTTTCATCTCACGTTTGAAGGAATATCCATGCCATAAAACTGAAACACTTTTGACATTAAATCTTTGGGTTTTTTCCAGTTGTCGTTTCATGGGTATTTTGTGAGTTTCATTCTCAAGATCATCACGACATAAAATGACAACTTTTGATGCGTGTGCATAAATGCTGTACTTCACATCGTATTAAAAACGAGTTCTTAGTTTTTTGAAAAATACTCATGTCATCAAAATCGTGCAAAAATCGGCGATTTTATTACAATTTATCAGATCGAATAATCATGAAATTATATTGCGGTTAATTACTTAAACTGATGATTTTTGTCAGTTTTTAGAGAAAAATCACAATTATTAAAATAATATTTTCGATGACTTGACCTGATCATAGTATTTAGAACTATGACTATGACTACATCTCGACATGTATACAACCATTATTTACTGTCGTGCTCATACATGTTTCTCGTGAATGAGGAGAGAGAAAAGTTCTTACTTCTCATCGGCAGTAAATAATACAAAAAAAGTCATTTTTATAAAATAATACTTATTGTTCATTGAGATGATCACATGATCTAAATAAAATAAAAACATATATTTATTTTTATATAATAATACTTATTGTTGAAGTTTATTGGAAAATTATCTTTTGATCGTGATTTATTGTAATGTTCGAAAAACTACATTAATTGCGATTAATCTTCAAAAGTGACACGACTTTGATGACATGTGCATCAATCATTAATTAAACTTTGAATGATTATCACTTTCGACAATAGTATAGTACTAAATATGATTCCATCACAGACGAAAATCATATTTCCGGCCTTTTTATATCTACACTTCTATATGACTCGAAAGATCAATGTTTGACGCATTATCTTTAGATTCTCTTATTAAGTAAAACAATATAGTTTTTTCTTCGTGATTTATTTGCAAATAGTAAAAAGGTATGAGGGTGTGTTTTGTGTTGAAGCGAAAAATGTATATATCCAGAATATGATAGTGTTAAAACGAAAGGACAATACTAATAATTATAACTGTCTGTATATAAATATAACAAAAAATAAACATTATTGGGATAACAGAATACAAGGAATAAAAGAAGAGTTATATAGTTTTATAATTTCGTCGTCTTCTTCTTTGGTAAAAATTTTTTCTTTTATCGAATGCGGGATGTTGATGCACCACGCTTAGAATTATGTTTCTTTCGATTAGCCATTGTTTTACGGGTATTTGTTACTGATTTTATTTTCGTTGATTCAATGATTCGTTTCTAAAATAAAATAAAATAAAAACTAAAAAAATCTTTTCTTTATTATATCATGAACAAATTAACCTTTGCATCATCAGGTATAAACGGAATCGTATTAATATCACAATTTGGGTCTTTTCCAGTTTCTTTTCGTTTAAGCATCATTAAAGCAATATCAATCGGTAATGCAAACCAAACTGTATGTAAATATTTATCGGGTACATTTAATGGTGGATCTGATGTATAATCAATTACTTGAAGTGCATATCTCATAGCCTCAACAGCAAGTAGTTTTGCTTCATGGAATGGATCCTAAGATAATGAAAAAAAGAATGCTTTTAAACACTGATAAATAAATTAAAAACGAACGACTTACGATACTGATTGATTAAAAATGAAATTCTTTTTTTTTAAATTAGATTTCAATCTATAACTGTCATCACCATATTTAAAACTCAATATGATTTGAACATCGTATATCGATTAGTAGTTTTTCGGACTTTATTTAAAATGTTAGTATTTATTTTAATGCAATATGTGGATAAGGACTGACGCTACAGAACTATAGATTCACATTTAGAATATATTCAATGTAAATTTTGTGATAAATCCTAACAATATTACAGATAGATTTATTAAATTGCTCCATCTTACGAGAGAAGTTCTCCAACTGATTAATTGCTTTTGATCCGAACGCATATATACTATGTAGATCCTACTAGATTATGTATATTACGAAAAAAAGTTCGGAGTTTTAGCTTATTGCTGCCGATATATTCTATTTTTATGGTATTTTTCAATACGATATCATAGTTCCTTCCGCTTAGAAATACCCAAACTGATTTTTAAATTTCATGTTAAAGTTTTACATAGAAATAAGCCTTGATAAGAATAGTTTATCGTCAAAGTATCAAGCCATTTGATCTGTTTGTATTCTGAAATAAAGACATCATACTTGCAGGTGTACATAAGCGATGTAAAAGGCGTGATTTTACTATGACTGTATATTGGCATAGGAACAATGAAAATATTTGAAACTTTCACACTAAACTATTCTTTTCAAGGTTTGTTTCTATACAAAGTTTCAAGTCGAAATTCGAAAATCAATTTTCTTAGTATTTCTGAGCAAGACCACAGCATGATATTGAAAAATATCGTAAAAATGCAATATATCGGCAGTAATAAGCTAAAAGTCTGACCTCTTTTCGGCATATGCATAACTCATTAGGATCTACATGATGTATATAGTCCCAAATTAAAAGTGATTAATCAGTTAAGAAACTTCTCTCATTATATTTGAAAATCTAAAGAAAACATTTTTTAGAAAAGTCCTACTGAGAATTGACTATCACATAAATCATTAACTTCTGTCGTTTATACTATAATCAAAATCATTGTTAATCAGAATTTACTTACAGGAATATATTTTTCTCCATGTGTAGTTGATGGTTCATTTTTTCTTCCGGAATATTGCATTTTACCAGATTTATATGTTATATCCTCAAGACTTGATTGAGCTAATCGAAAACCACTACGATTAGACCATGAAGCTGTTGCTGGATTATATGTATACTAAAACAAAACAAAAAAGAAGAATAACAAACTTAAGATATCATACATCAATAGTTTTCTATATTACTAATGGTAAAAATTTCCATCCATGAACAGCAATAAATTCTATAGCATGAAGAATATATTCAATTTCACCATCAGTTACAAAATATGGTAAATTAACACGTGAAAAACCGGGTCTGAAAACAACGAAAATTTTGATTCAATTAGAAATAAAAAACAAAAAAGGAATTTTCTATTTACTTCATCATCATAGTTCGAACAATGCCATCATTTCCTCGAGCTCTAAAATCAAAAAATTAAAATAAAATAATTTTTGTTTTTCAATTTTTTGAAATTAATTCAACTCACCCAACATTTTCTGTCATAAACAAACAATACGTGTTTGTTTTAGCATCATTGATATTTAATAAATCAAGTGCATATGGCCCAGCACAAGCACAACCAGATCGTACTTGTATACCAAATAAGTCATTAAATAAACGACAAACAAAATTATGATGTAAATATTTACATATAACTGGTACATAAACAGCAAATGAAAATATTGGTAAACGTGGAGCTGTTTGAGAGCCGAGAATAACTAATGTTTCAGTTTTTTTAAAACGTCGAAAAAATCGTTTAGCTAATTCATTTTCACGTGCTTGAATATAATTCAAATCAAGCGAATCTTTTAATTGAAAAACAAGGCCAGCTCGAATACAACCAATTATATCTGGTGTACCACCTTCTTCACGAATTTCAAAATCATAATTATATTCACGACATGTACGAGTTACAAAATTAACTGTACCACCACCACATGATTTTGGAGGTTTCAAACTAAATAAATGTTTTTTGGCAATTAAAATACCTGTGAAAATAAAAATAATAATAAAAAAACAAATGTCGTTTATTTATGTTTTAATATCTTACCAGGTGTGCCGGGACCACCAAGAAATTTATGTGTTGAGATAAATATAGCATCTTTATAAGCTGTTGGTGATGAATTCATATTAATTTTAACATAAGGTGCAGCTGTTGCATAATCCCAAAAAATTAAACCCGAATATGAATGAACAAGTGTTGATACACCATCAACATCAGTATAAATACCAGTTATATTACTTGCAGCATTTAATGAACAAATAATACGTTTTTTTAAATTTGAATAATATTGTAATTTTTCTTTTAATACTGATTTATCAAGTAGACCTTGTTGTGTTGTTGGTATTCGAATTACCTTTTAGCAGAATAGAAAAATAAATAAATATAAATAAAAAATAAATTTTTTTTTTTTTAATAAAATTTCATATCTTACTTCAACACCTGTTTCTGTCCATGGTAATATATTACTATGATGTTCAAATGCACTAACCATAACAATTGTATTATTTCGATTATTTTCATCATAAAAATTAAAATTATCAACAAGTGCATGAACAGCACCGGTTGAGCCAGTACCAGTAAATAATAAAATATCATTTTCATTAGCATTAACCGATTTTTTTATTATATTACGAGCTTCTTCACGAAATCTTGTTGATTGTTCAGCACATAGACTTGTTTCACTATGTGTATTACCATATCTATTGAAAAAGAAAAATTAAATTTATGAAACGAAAAAAAAAAAACAAACACATTTAAAAAATTTTTAATTTACTTACAATGGAAGTACATGAGTTCGAATATATTTTTCAATAAATTCCAATGGACGACCTGATGCTGTATAATCACAATACACCACTTTAAAAGGAAAAACAAACAAATTATTTTGATATAAAAATGATTAAAAAACAAAAAAAATCTCACTTCGTCTTAAACCCCATGGTCCATAAAAAATATGACCCTTGCCAATAATATTCTCATCAATATATTGAATAAGTTTAGGACGTACAACACTATTATTATTTTTATTTGATGAATGATAAATTTTATTAATAGATGGAAAAATTTGATTATTATTAGTTAATCTTTGATAAATATCATTAGGTTGTTGTTCAGTTGTTGGTAATTCTGAACGAGTCATTGAATTCGATTGAGACTTTGAATATGATGTTGATAATGTTTGTGATGTTTTAAATTTTGTTGGTAGCCACTAATAATTTACAGAAAAAAAAAATCTTAAATTATTTTTAATGAACATCAATAGCGTGTATTTTAAACGGTTAGAATCGACTTTTTTTTCGAAAAAAGTTAAATAAATAAATAAATTTATTTTTTTTTTTGAAAAAAAAAATTAAAAAAAACAAATATTCGTTAAGAATAAGCGCCATTAGAAAAAAAAAAACAATATTTCTTACCGCAAATTGGTCTTCATCATCACTGGATGGATCACTATTATCTGATTCATAACAACTTGAACCACTATTACGTCGTTCACGTCGTTGATAAAGTTCAGATGGTGGTGATGATGATGAATGATTATAATGATAATGAGCTGATAATGGTGATTCAAACGATGCACTTAATGGTAGTGCAGATGTATTACTACTAATACTGTTCGTGCGATTAAGATATGGATTTATCTCAAACCTTTGGTGCGCCCCATTGATGGTAAGAGGCCGCAATAGATCTTGGTCTTGTGGTATTGGACCATTTGATAGCCATGGATCAGATGATGACATTGGTATCATATTAACTGGACTTGAACGTGGTATTTGTTGTTGACTTTGTTGCATTTTTTGTTGAATTTGTTGTTGAAGATGTTGCTGGACAGGTGCCGGAAGTTGTGATGAAGTTTGTGGTACTAGTTGATCTGTTCTAAATAATTGTGGCTTTTGATCCATTGTTTGTTGTGGAAATGTAACAGATGGAGCAGAAAAAGCAGTTTGCATATGTTGTAGTTGACTGTATTGAGGAAATAATAAATTAATTCCTTGACGTTGTTGAACATACATTGCTTGATGCAGAGGATGATGATGCTGATGCATCGAAAATACCTATGGTAAATAATAATATTTCATAACAAACAATTTTCTTGTTTTTTCTAAAAACAAAATATCATACCTGTGTTGGTGTATAGGAGTACATATATAATTGGAGAAATCAACAATGTTTCAAACTAAAATATGTAATAAACTATTATTATAAATAATGTCTTTTGATTTTATGTGACAATAATGTCGTCGATGTTATAATGAAAGCGAAACAGTATTATTGAGGATAAATATATACATGAGAAAAGAGAGAGAATGAAAACATTTTTTTTCTCACCCACTTGTTCTCGTGATTTCGATATACGAAAATAAGATACACAAGGTATGTGTGAAGTAATGGTGTGGTATATTCGTCTTAATTTTTTTTTTTTTTTTTTTTTTTTTGTGGAAAAAAAACCATCAGTATAGCATTCAATGTGTCAATGGTGTGATTAATGACTGGCAAGCAAATGAATTATCAAACCTAATAATAGCAGTTATATCGATACATTTCTATATAGAAAAATCATCAAAATCATGAACTGTGACGCATAAAGTTCAAATAGATGTAAATTTGAAATGTATAGAGACTGTTGATTGTTTACGCCGATCTTTCATGAAACTATTACAATGATATATCGATTCATTTTTTGAAGAAAAGAAAAACAACCTAACTATTAAAGTAATAATGAATTATTCATTGTATCGATAAAAGCATAAATATTTCGTTTTTTTTTCTTATGTCGTCAATAAATCATCTTTCGTACGTCATATCAAAAATTAAAATACTGGTCGTACTGTGTCAAATAGATATTCATGATAGGAAATTATTTTCGTCGTTTTATATTCGTATATTATTCATCAATAGGAAGTAAAAATAAAATCAAACCAATCTATAAAGAAAAAAAAACAAAGTACTTAATACTTGTTTAATTTTATATAGTTCGATCAATTTATTATATAAATGTGTGTGGTTTGATCATTGGATAACAAAAAATAAATATTCCCTTCCATGTGTTTCTCACTTGCTAATAGTTTCGAAAGGTATTTTCATCATTACACTCCTTCACACATATATTTATCAAGATGGTGAGCAAGAAAAAAAAATGAAATTAAACGAATGCATTCGTGCTTTTCAAAAGAACAAATCATGATATATTGTGATTATTAATTTCATTATTAGATTGCATGAATAATAGAACTAACGATAGCAATATAAAGATAGTACATATAACTATTTCGAAAAGGCCTAAAATATTTACAAAATATACTATTTTTATGTTAATATATTTCATTTTCGAAAAAACATGCTAGTGTTTTCTCTTATTTGTACAGGTCATATTCTCAACATTCGAAATTAATATTTTTCATTTTGATGAAATCAGTGATCAAACCTAAGATGGATATTAATGATTAGGTTTTATCGACACAATAAGTAAATATTTTTTTTACATGGTTACACTGAATGTATTTGCACCTATATTTTAAATATTTTTTCTGTATTTTGTATTATTGTTTGAATGTTATGAGGTTGAGATAAAAGAGTAAAAAATAACTACATAATAAATTTGTTTTGATTATTTTCACATATTTTTTCCTATGCAACGTTCCGGTCGATGTATTCGTTAATATAGAAATATGAAAAATATGGCAAACTACGGGTTTTGTCGCTTGCATTCGTGTATATGTAGGTATTTATAACAAAATGTGTCTGCTTGTTATATAAATAAAAATGACATTTTTTTTCTTTCTTTATGAATACAAACGATTTTTTTTAAACATAATTAAAAACATATATATTTCCTTTTTTTTTTTTTTTTTTCGTATATGAAATATAAAAATTATGAATATCCAAATGATTTAGCCAATTGAAGATCTTGTTGAAGTTGATGTCGTTTTAATGAACGACGTTGTCGACGACGTTGACGTTTAGCTTCAAGATGTAATTGACGTTTTTGTTCCATAGATTGTTCATATTTTCGACGAAGCCATCTATAAAAGAAAAACATAAAAATAATCAATGAATAAATCTAAATTTTTTCTAAAAATAAATTTCTATTTGCTTTTCATTTCATTTATTTTACTAAACTAATCATAAATATATATATTTAGAATTGAAAAATTTTCAATTTAATCATGCAAAATAAATCATTAATTAATATTATTATTAATATCTTGTACCCATATATGATATATAATGATATTTTTCTAGAGAAATAGTATTATAATTTCAAATAACATCAGCAATGAAGACTCATTAAAAAAATCAGATGTTTATTTATAGCTGATAAATCATAACATGATTATGACCTTTAGAATCGACGTATTTTTTGGGTTATTTAAACCATATCATTGAGTACGTTGATGACTTATTAATCATAAAAAATATGAAGTTTTTAAAAATTCGTTCTGAAATATTGGAATAATATTAAATTTTTTTTTTTCGATAAAAATCATCAATAAAAAGAGCTCTATTTCCTGAGAAATTGTTTTATGACTAAGGAGACCATTTGCTTCAAGAAAAATTTCAGAGTAGATAGATCTCGAAGAGTAGAACAAAAATTTTCTAATGCTTTCGTGTAGAGTATATTGAAATCTCAAGAGTAAAAAAACAACTCCTCGTATTACTCTTCTCAGATATTCTCTACCAATTTCAATATTTTTATTTTGTACCTATAGATATTACTTTCATTCAAAGGTTTGTACAAAGTTTTCGAATTTTTAGATTTCATATTTTCAATATGCAAATTTTTTAAATCATTTTGTATTCAATAATATCTTTGAAAAAAATGTGAATGTTTTGAAAAGTTTATAGATCGAAGATACAAAGTCTAGAAATCTTGAAATTTTTTGCATAAAAGGAAAAAAATTCGAAAAGATAATACTTCTAAAAATCTGAGATCTTATAGAAATTTTTCGAAAATAGACATTTAAGTTCTCCTAGTCAGCTACAATACATCTGATAAAGCTAAAAATTACAAAAAAAAAAAAAATTAGATATCATTCATACTTTCTAGTATAAGTGAAAGAAAGTTTACGCTCTATCAGATGTACTATGGTTGAGAAATGAAGACGATTATCTACTTGTCTTTCTGAAGTTCGAAAAACACTGAAATAACATGTAAATGTTGATGTGATTTTTCAGCGAATGCGTTCCATGTTTTTCGACTTTTATAATTATACATTAATTCAGTGTTTTATTTAGTGCGTAGGTCAAAAGGACGGCGCTCTTTCGAAGACCAATTTAGTCCTCCAGGAGTTTGTGATTATTATACCACATACTTTGTTTTTTTGTGTTTTTTGAAAAATAAAACCATTGACACATTATAAAATACCTGCGGTCAATCTATTTCATTTATCTGACATATATAGAATGAGAAAGAAATAGATAATATCTTGTGAAAAAAGAAATGAAGACGAACATTAGTAAGAAGAGTATTCTTAGAAAAATATAGTCAACAAATTGTAACATCTTAGTAAAATGTCTAATAGCAATCTTTCTGCTGAATAATAAGATCTGTCACTGTCAACAATGATTATAGTTGTCGTCAAAGAAATAGTTTAAAGAAAAACAACAGTTGAGTACACATTCAATGTTGTTTTGTTGTTTGTATGTTTCGAAAAATGTCTTTAGATCTTTTTACGACAAGAAATATATTCTCAAACACAGAAATAATACACAACGGGATTTTACCGAATGTATTCCAATTTTAGAAAGATTTCTTCATATGTGATTCGTACTAATGTGCAATAAATCAATTAGGTCCTATGAATATGAGAATGTATTTTTCGTATAGAGAGTGTCAAGAATTTTTTCAGATTATGTTGCAAAAGAACACTAAGGTAATCCCACAATAGATTGTAGTTTCCTATTAGCTGTTTCTTTTTGAAGATTTTTCTAACTCAAAACTGATATGTCGTTATGACCATGGAAGCAAAATATTGTTGATACTGATCGTAGATATGGTTGTGGGCAAAAAAAACATTAATTCTCAAAGGAGGCCTTCTAATGTGTTGAAGATTTATCCTTTCGGAAGACAAAAGCTGAATATGGAAGTATCTTTAAGTATTCATAAAACGTATGAAAAAAGAAATCTTAATAGATTAAATTGATATATTATATTATGTTCTGATTTCTTTTTTTCAATATTGTTAAAATTCTAAATTACCTTTGAAATGCTCGATGATTACTATCTCGACTAGCATTATTTACTGATGATGATGAACTTCCTGATATCATTTCATTTTCATCAGCTTTTAATTTTTTAAATTCATTTGCAATTTTTGTTTCTTGACCTTTACGTTCAAGCCATTCTTTATATTTTTTTTCTCGTAAATCAGTTAATTCTTTTTCTTCTTCAGCTTGACGAGTCTAAGAGAAGAAAAAAAAAACAAAAGAAAATCAAAGATATATGTATATATATATATATAAATTTTTTAAAAGATTCTACTTCTAGTTCTTCTTTTTCTAATCTTTTTTCTTCATTGATTCTTTTACGTTCAGAATCTTTTTCTCGTAACCATCGTTTATAGGATTCTTCTGCTTTAGCCAATTCTTGTTGACGTTTTTCTTCTGCCTAGATAGTATTATAATGATTATAAATTTGTAGTATTATAATAAGAAAATAATATTACTTCTTTTTTCTTACGACGTTCTTCACGTAATTCTGCTCGTTTTTTTTCCGCTGCTTTTCGTAAAAGTTCATTAAAATCAATACCAGACAATGGTCTTTTATGTTAAAATAAATCAAATAATATTGATTTAAGAAAATTTTACTTACTTATCTGTATATGTTTCAACATTTTTTACAGTACCCGCACTATAGATAAATATTTAAATATAAAAAAAGAAAAATAATTCTTATTCTTTATACCTTTTTGGTCGTTGTCGTGTTGTTGTTTGTATTTTAGTATTCTTATCAGAAGATAAATTTGCTGAATTTGTATTCGTTCTTCTTCCACTATCAGATGATTTAGGTCGAACTGGAAATGGACGATGAGGTAAATCTTGATTTTTTTTAGGTTCTGTTGGTGGTGCAGGTAAAAATGAAATTTTATTATTATTATTAGTAGTAGTAGTAGATTTCATATGATGTTTAGCTATATAATCATCTTCATCTTGTAAATCAAATCGACCATTAACAGCAACAATCATTGCTTTTTTTGATACTGTTGAATTGGAAGTTGCTTTTAACATATTTTGAGTCTCATTATTATTTTCATTTGATTTACATGATGATACAGATAAATCATCTAAATTATCAAAAAAAAAATCAAGTTTTATTTAAAGCGTTCTTGTAGCAAAAAAATGCATAAACAAAGAGTTTTGTATGACACGATCTAAGTGTTGAACTATCGGAATGAAAGTTTGGATCATCTCTCCATCACAGACCGTGGCAGATATTAGCGATAACCTCTCATTATAATATACGAGTTACTTTTTTATTGCATTTCTAGAGGATTTAAGTAAAAGGATAGTGAAGAAATATGCCCAAAAATTGATTGAATAAAATAATCTTCCGGTGATTAGCAACAGCAACTACATCGTGTTTTACATTATGATCCCACAGAGTTTGTGCTAACAGCTTTTTTGTGAAGCACAATTTAAAAGGTATGTTGAAGTATAGAGAAAGAAATCTGGACCCCTCTGATCATAACCGGCACTAGTTAGAGACCATCACACGCAGTGATAGACGTTGTTGATATATAAACTATTTTCTTATTGCATCTTCGAAAGACTAACTAAAATAATAATGAAGAAATGTATCTAAAAAAATTTAGAATAAAACAATCCAGTGGGGGAAGCCCAGTCCCTGAACGAGATTTTTGAAAGATGTATTTTTTTTTCTTCAAAAATCTCTCTGGGAAAGGTTCAAAGGTCCGTAGAAGGAAGGAGGCTAAGCCTCTTCTAGCGCAAAATCTTGGCTCCATCACTGAGACAATCATTAACAAGGACAGCTACATCGTATTTAACATTTTAATCCTACATAAATTGCGTTATTTAGTTACCTTATAGACAAAGCAAAACAAATATACCTTCTCGATTTAATAAATTATCATTATTTTCATTATCAGTTGTAGATGCCCATCGTTCATTAATTAGTTGTGCATTATGAAATTGTAGTGCTTTAATTTGTTGAAGTAATGTCAAACCTTCTTTTGGTTGTGTATCATTAAGTGGTACAGTATATTCATGTGTACTAGTTTCACTTCGTGGACTAGTAATAGTTGTAGACGATTCTTCTAGAACAGGTGGAATAGATCTTCGAACTAAATCATCATCATGATCAAGTTCTGTAGGATCTTGAATAATATCAACTGCTTTAACAATAGCATCAAATGAAACACGTTGACGATGTTTTAATTCAGCTGGTGTTTGATCATGTTCAAATTCTTCATTAGCTTTTTTTAATCGTTCTTGAATAATAAGATTATAATCATAACCATCATCATATGGAATATCATCTATAATAAAATATTGATATTAGATTTTTTTTTTTTCGAATTATTTTTATTTCTTAGAAAAAAGATGAATATTGAATCTAGAAAATTTAATAATTTCAATATTAAACAAAAAAGAAAAACAAACAATTCTCTATGTAAGTTTCTTTTCGATTAGAACGCATATACAAAAAATAATTTTCTTTTTTTTTTTTTGTTTCACTTAGGTCTGTTGCTTAGTAACTATACACAAGTATTTTAATGTTTTCAAAAAAAGAAAATCTTAAATACTTACAATCATCAATATCATTTTCATCTTGACCAAATATATCACATTCATATGAAGGACGATCAAGTTGAGATAAATCTTCAGCTGAATTGGATAATGTACTTTGATCAAATAAATCAATATTAGCATATTGGCGTTTCAAGGTAAGTATATCCATATCTGAATCAAATTATCATACTTTTTATAGTTTGTTTTTTTGTTACAAAAAATAGAAAATGTATTTTTTATTTACCATCTAAACAATGACCATATCGTGGTACAGTTGTATTTGTATTAGTCGTAAAAAAGTCATGATTTTGTCTTGATAATGTCGGATTATTCGACATTCGAAAAATAGCTGATGATGGTGGTATTGATCGATCATAAGATGCAAATGTACTTGTAGCTGTAGCCATAGTCATTTACAATAGAATTATATTTTTTATCGTTAAATACTGCATATCTAAGTATAAATAATGAAAAAGAAAATTACTAATAGAGAAGTTTACAAAACAATTCTTTATAGAAAAGAAAAAAGTGACATAAAACAAAATAATAATAAGGTTTCTATTCTGAAATGCCTTCATAACAACAATTTAATGTATATATATATTGAAAGCATGATAATCTCTTGTTTTTTTAAACTATATTCATCTCTATTGAATATTATTTTATCAAGAAGACAAAATATTCTATTTAATTAAATAAGATTTAAAGAAAAATCTTCTAAAGATGTCACTTTAACTGTTGCTTAGTAAACCTTCGAAATCGATTCAATCGAATGGTTTACTTTTAAATCATCAAAAGAAACGAGGAATGTAAACAAAACTTGTACCAATAATCAAACTAATAATAGTATGAAATATCCTTGATTTCTGAATAACTTACAAATGCAAGGAAAAAAAATGAATATAAGATTTTTTTTGCTTTAATATACACAGCACATAAGACTATAGATCTAATATAAGAATTATAATGCTAATTAGATTATTTATATTGTTGACGAGATTTTGAAATAGCAATTCTTTAGAAAAAATTTGTATACTTCATCTTAAATAAATCTCGTAATTTAATAACATTTTCATGAACATATCCATAATACGAATTGCTTATGTCAAATTTAACGTATAAAAGAGAGTTTGTCTTTTAGTCGAAGAATGATGTGCGAAAAATTAAAATATCAAAAACAAAAGAAAAAAATCATTAGAATACTTTAAAAATTTCAGCCAAAAATAATGATTCCTTCTTGAGATAACAACAATAAACCGGCCAATAACCATAGAAAGATAGTACACAGGAAGAAATCCTGCTAAGACTTTTTCTAGTTTTAATAGATCCTACCTAATGAGACATGTCTCATTATAAATCCGAGATACCATCCAGAGATGTTAATGATTGTGTTTTTTTAACCTAATCTCGGCTTACTTCACGAATTGAATGGTTTTTTCTTCGACTCACGGATCACTAGAAATTTTATTAGTAAATTCGTTAGGTTTTTGCTTTTGTTCACACATTCATTTTTTTAATTATTTGTAAAATTAAAATATGATCTTTTATTTCTGAACATGTACATAAATATTATAAAATTTCAATTAAACTAAAAAAAACGAAAAAAATTTGTAAAGCAAAAATAATATATGTTCATATATTTAATAGTAATATAGTAAATACAACTTCGACTAGAATAATAATGACGATCAATGAGGAAAACCAGAATCGAAAACTAACTAGATTATGTATTTTTCATTTCCATTTCTTACATTGAATGAACTAATAACATATCATTTAATAAACTTACGAGGAAACATCTTTAGCTGTTCCCTTCCGATTTCAATGATTTTTTGGTCTATAGATACTACATAATATTCTAATAAAAACTCTAAAAGAATCTAGGTTCTTATTGATATTTAACTAAGTTATTGAATACTTTATTCAAAACTTTGAACTTTTTTTTTATGGAAACTAGTTTAGGTGTGTTCTCTATATGCACAAAGTTTCAAATCAAAATTTGAAAATAAGAGTTTTCTAGAAACTTGAAATATCTTGAAAATAGAGATATTAAAAATTCGATAGCACGATTAATATCAATAAGAATCCAAATATTTTTAGGATTTCATTAGATTACTATGCAGTATCTATAGACAAAAAAAGGAATGTGGATTTCTGGTTCGGTGCATCAAAGAGAAGACCTATACTCAAAGTATTTTTATATGTCAGCATGCTTCAAAACAAGTACATGAATGATTTGAACGAACATGTAATAAGAATAAATAATTGCAAGAATCTCAATGATGAAGAGCAAAGGAAATAGTAAAAACTAATAAATCAGTGGAAGGAACGAGAAATAACATGACTAGTAAACATAACTATATGCAGAGAGAAAGGATGAAAGATGACAAGTAATCTTTATAAAAACAAGTTGTACTCACGGGTATACATCAACATATAACCCGACCTCTGAAACCCATAATCATGAAAGTACCTAACTCGTGAACTGTCAGAGGTCCAATTTGCACATGAACTACGGGTCAGTCAGTCAAAATCTCTGGTATCACTTGAGATAGTTTCTTCATTATCATCTTCGTATATTCTATAGTTAGTACTGTTTTACATAATTTTTTTTTTATCTATTTGTAGTGTTAACACGAGTGCAATGACTTATGAAAAGTCTTTTGTCTTATTCAACAATAGATTCTCATCAAACAATGTCTTCAGTAGCGTCGTTTCAACTAGCAGATCACTTAGTAACCAATCGATATTTTGATTAAGAATAATCATAATAATCATCAAAATAATGATAATTGTTTTTTTCGCTTATAAAATATTATTCTAGAAATAATAAAATGAGAACATATGAAAAAATACAAGTCTTTTTATCTTTTATATTTTGCCAAGTGTCTGTCTTTTTCTTTTTTTTTTTTTTTGATAATATACCAATTATTTCTTTATATAGAAACAAAAAAAAGAAGCAATTTTTCTTTCATAAAAAAAAAACCAAATAACACTATTATCAAGGGAATAAAAACTTCTAATGATCAAATATTTTTCTATCTAATCGAGACTCTCTCATTTATACAAAGAATAGATACACATGAATTTTATTCCAATAATATATTTATATTTTATATTTATTAGATGAAGTTTTCAAAAATTCAATTGAATAAAATAGAATATTAAAAACAATTATAAATATATCAGAAATGCTGATGTCAATTACAGTTTGCCTCAATGAGTAAGAACAATAATAATAATAAAAAAATCTATTTGTCATGTCAGTATTTTTGAATTTCATTATTATTTATAATACTAAAAATAGCATATACATATATATGTACATCAATTTGTATGATTAAAATTAAAGAAATATTAATTATGAAATAGAATCTGTTCGAATTTGAATAAAAAAAAAATTTTTTTATTAAAACAAAAAAAATGTTAACGTATTTTGTTTTTTTTTAGTCCAAAATATTTACATATGATGATAAAGTACGGAAATAAAATACAGTATATAATCAAGAATCTTGATAATATATTTTTTGTTTTGGTGTTAAAAGAAAAAGGAATTGATCTGTTCTTTTTTTGTTTTTATATATATATTCATGATTGCATATCATTCTTCTTTATCCTTGAATTACTAGAATGCATGTCTAGCATTGACTATGATCTCGATTATGGTAAAAATGCGTACGGAAATTCCACTGTTGTTCTCTCTTCCGTTGTTACAATTTTGAAGATAGAATACAGAGAAGATCTCGTGATTATGATCGAGATGAACATGGTTCTTTTTACTATGTTCTACTGTTTCTGCTAAAAGTATGAAGAAGGATAAAGAAAAAAAAAAAAAAGAAAGAAAGAAACTCATTTTCATCATGATAGAATAGTCTTGAGTTCTTCGTCTTTTCTCTTTCTTCTGGTTTATATTCAAGAAAAAAAAAAAAAAAAGAAAGAAGAATCACCAACGACAACTAGTGGCTGTATTTTCCACAAATATAAAAATAAGGAAAAAAGGAACCGCAAAAAAGAAAAACGAAGAAGAGAGGAGGTTATAGCAACGACGGATAAATAAAAATGCTCACACACATTTACTATACGCTTGTAAAGAATAACATCAAATAGAGTTAGTGTCGTCGGAATAAAAGAGAGGAAAAAGAAGAAGAAATAGGTGACAACAACGAACTTGCTTCGTTTAAATTGCGAATAGATGTGAACAAAAGCACCGCATACTATATATATATAGACTAGATTGATACGTTTTCTTTCCAGAACAATAATATGGCTAGTAGCAATGAAACCATGACAAATAAAAATTCAACATCTGATATTAAATGCATAATTCTTCAACAAACATTAACTGGAAAAAGAGAACCTAAAGTAACAACAATACCAAAACCACCAGCACCGACTGATGATGAAGTATTAATAGCTGTCAAAGCTTGGTAATATTCTTATTAAAAATTTAAGAATAAAAAGAAAAAAAATAATTTTGTATGTCTTTTTTTTTTTATTCTAGTGGAATCAGTTTTAATGATGTTCTTGCTCGTTATGGTCTGTTAGAAGATACTCCACGACCTCCATTTGTACCCGGTTTTGAATTTAGTGGTGAAGTACTTGATATTGGAACAAATGTTACTAACGTTGATGTAAGATTAAACTAAAGAAATATATATTTTTTTTTTTCTTAAATAAATTTTTTATTTTATATAGAGAGGTGATCGTGTTGTTGTAATTACATATTTTTCAGCTTGGACTGAACAAATTATTGTTAAAAAAGATTTAGTTTTTAAAATTCCAAAAGAAATGACATATCGAGAAGCAGCCGTACTTCCTGTTGCATATCTTACTGCATATATACTTCTATTTGAAATTGGTAATATTAAACCAAATCAAACATTATTATTTCATTCAGCTGGTGGTGGTATTGGTGGTAAGATAATTATTTATATTAATCTACACATTTGAAATAAAGCAAAAGAAAACAATAAATCAATATTTTTTTTTTCTGTTTCTAGTTGCATTAACTCAACTTTCAAAACTTGTGCCTAATTTAACACTTATAGCAACAGCAAGTTCACATAAATTTGAAGTATTGCGTGCTCATATTCATTATTTATTTGAACATGATATTGACTATATAGAAGACGTAAAAAAGTATAAATTATTAGCTAGTTCTTTTTTTTTTTTTGGTTTGTTGTATAAATTATAATTGAAATTTTAGAATAGCACCAGATGGTGTTGATTTAGTTCTTGATTGTATGGCAGGTGATGATTGTGAACGTGGTCTTGCTTTACTTAAATTTAATGGAAAATATATTATGTATGGTACATCAAGTTTACTTGGTTGGAGTGTAAAAAATTTCTTTGGCCTTACAAAAGGAATGTCTAATGTATGTGTAATCATTTATTTTTTATTAATGAAGACAAAAAAAAAAAGAACAACATATTTTTTTTAGTGGTGGCAAAATGATAAAATAAGTTGTTTACGTTTATTTCAAGATAGCAAATCAATACATGGTTTTAATTTAATTCAATTACTTCTACGTGGTTCAAATGATACACGTCGTTATTTAGCTGATATAATGCATAAAATATTTATTCTTTATAAAGAAGGAAAAATAAAACCAGTTATAGATTCTGTATTTACATTTGAAGAAGTATATTTTTTTTTCAAAAGCAAAATCTATTTTATATTTTTTACTATATAAAAAAAAAATTTATATATTTACAGATAAATAATGCTCTTGGAAAATTAATTGAACGTAAAAATATTGGTAAAGTAGTAATCGAACCATTTGTTCAAGCAAAAATAGAAAAAGCAAAAAAAGTAAAAAAAAAAAGAAATTCTTTTGCTTCGTTTTTTTTTATTTTTATTCTTTATATTTTATTTTAGTTAAAAACTAATACATCACATGGACGTTCTGAGGATGCTCATTCAAGTTCAACATCAGGTCCTGATGATGATGATAATGATGACAAAGATCCAGAAGATTTTCAACAAAAATAATCCAGCATCTAATCCCTAAATATATATATATATATTTTTTTGTCTCTTAATTATTTATTTATGAAATTAATGTTTATATTTCGTCTTAAATCATTTTTTTTCTTTCTTCATTCTATAAACATTTCCCCGTACTGTTTAACCTTTCGTACATATATTCTTTTTCTTTTTTTTTTTTGTTTTGTTCAATGTCATTCCATATTGAATAATGCAGCTCCGAAGACAAAAACAAAAAAAAGAAAATTGAGTAATGACATTTGTGTGAAGAAGAAAAAAAAAGAACGAATTTATCTATATTAAATTAATTAATTTTCTTTTTTTTTTGTTTCAAATATTTTGCTTTGATGATTAAATGACACTAAGAAATAAGCATATGAATAAAATTAAATCATCAACGAAATGAAATTTTGAATATAAAAAAAAAAAAAAAAAAAAAAAAAAAAATTTAAACACAAACAAAATTCCTAAAACAAAAAAACAAAAGCATGCTACTGCATATATGAAAAAGAAAAAACGTTTGTGAATTGCATGTAATTATTGTAAGCTATTTATTTCATTCTATGAAGCAATTTGAATATTGTCCTTTTTGTCATCATCTGTTTTAAATACATCGGGTAATGATGGAGGAGTACTTCTAGAAAAAAAAAACAAAAATTCAAATAAATAATTAAAATTTTTATTAATTTAATGTTTGAATTTTTTTTTTTGAAGAATTAAAAAGTCTATTAAGTATACAGGAAATGACTTCGACCTAAAGAAGATTTTATTTCATGTGTCATTTTGAGATTCTTTTTTTTTTCTTCTCCGGAAGTAATTTTTACACAAATTACTATTATCATATTGTAATTTTATATTCACTGACTCAAAAAATTGATCATATAGATTTAATTTCGACTATAATGGTAACTGACATAATGAATTCAAATAATGATTTAGATAGACAAAAATTCATTTCTAACAAAGATTTACAGGAATTGAAATCTTCACTATATTCCTAAAATCCAAAAACCCCAAATCTAGTTTTTCAGCATTGAGTACTCACAAAATAAAAGTTTCTATTGAGATTATACACAACGATAGAGCAACAACAAGTGAGATGTTTCCTTCAAACTTCCTACGACATTAAAAGAACAAAAATAGTGACGTAAGCCGCTACCATCGCTGAAGCCTGTGACTTTTGTAGTTGCTGTCGTCAGTGGAGGAAAAAAAGTTAGAATAAATCCTGCTGCTCAATGTATCGACTTACACTTCTGGACAAAAAAAATTTTTTGTTTGTCATACTTATTCAATAATTTTACTTTGAATTTCTCTCCAATATATAATGTTTAATTTTTTACACATGAAAAATTATTAATTTAAAAAAAAATGAATAGAAGATATATACTAACATTTAAAGAAAACCTTCTTTCTTCTGAAATTGATATTGATTATTATATTCAAAATTCTAAATTTCAATGAGAAAATTTTGTTTCCAAATTATCCCTTTTTTTCTGTTCGGTTTACCTAAAGTTGAAAATAGTAGATGACCTTTCGTGATATGTAGGTAGAGTTTTATTTTATCTTATCGAATTTTTTAAAGTATTAATCAAATAATGTCAATTTTCTTTAACTTCAAGATATTATTACATAATTAAAAACAAACAAACGTTCTTTTATTATTAGAAGTCATCAAGTAGAATTATATTGTTTCTTAAAATATAAAAATATTTATGTGTTAGTTGGAAGGTTCATACATATTTAATGAAATAAATATTTTCTATCAGAATAAAATACAATATTAGAATTGTTAGTTCTAAATTCTGTAGAAGATTTGCGGTCTTCAATTATGTCTAAGAGTACAAAATTTTAAAGAAGATCTTCTTCATTTATTTTCATAATTTTTTTTGTTCGAAAAAGTTAAAACGATTTAGAGAATTTAGGACGATACTTTTTAGAATTTTAAAACAATAGGAGTCATATTGATTGGAATTTTTCGCCAACAGAAATAGGAAAAGATTTCAAATGAAAATTTATAAGTTCTTTTTTTTTTTTTTTTTTGAACAAATCAAATATGAGAAGTTATCAGTGTTTGAAAATAGTTCTGATCTAGTTCTTAGCAGAATATCTATCAATGTCAAGCTTTACAAGGCAAAAAAAAAAAACAAAATGCATCATGATAAAATATATTTTTATATCGTACGAATACTCTTGAGAATGTATTTCCGAAAAAAAAAAAAACAGATCGTGCATTTATATTTAATTAAGAGCTGTCATAAAACTTTTAGTACGATCTTCTATATATTTTTAATCAAACGGATTCGTAAAAACAATTATCAATGAGCTTTTTTTGTAGTAAATTCTTTGCTGACAATTATTCTGTGTTTTAATTAAATGTTAAAAAACCAAAATATATGTTTAGTATTTTTCTAGTATATTTAGCAGTCTTTCTTATGTTCTTTTTTTTTTTTCAATGAATTTGTGTTATGAGGAAGGATCCTTAAGTGTGAATTTCCGTTGTCAATTGTTTATTTGCCAGTTTTGTAGAACTCAATAGATTGATCATGATGACATAGAACATTTCTTCTCTTTCAATGTCTTTGAGAAGCTAGATCAATGTCAACTTCAGAAAAATAATTACTCTTTTATTTATTAAATTTTAATTTTTATATTAATTTAGTTCTCAGTATGCAAAAAAAATTTTAACACTACATACATCTTAATTAACTGTACATATTTACATAAACAATGGTTAACTTCGTCTATACTTAGAATATTTCAATACTATTAATATTATCGATGTATGAAATTCAACTCTTTTGTTTTGTGAAACACGATCTATGCGAAGTGTTGAAATATATAGAGTAGAAATTTGCACGCACCTTCACAGTTTTCATTTTTTTTTTGCATAGTAGGGGATATATGACTTTCTTGCTCAAAAATGATTGAATATGATGTAGAAAAACATTTTTAAGACAAAAAAAAAAAAAACTTTTCTCTTCAAAATTGTTTTGTGTTATATATCATTCGATGCAGTTTAATGCGTTGATTTTGAATATACTATTTTTGTCCATTAAATATTTTTCTAAAGTCAGAAAAACTAAAAAATCTAGATTTTTTTTTGAAACTCACTATGCAATCAACGAATATTTGCGCTAACAGGAATTAGAAACGATAGATAGAAGAATATTTTGACAAAATTTGCAAAACTTTGGAGATTGGATTGTTCATTTTACAGAACAAGCTCTTCGGATTTCGAAGAATATTTTTTTTGTATATTTAAATCTTGCAAAAGTACGATTTTCATTTTTTAGCCAAATGTTCACCTAGATACACACACTGTACTCCTTCACACAGATCGTGACATATGTTGTTGGTATATGATCAAAGATCATGTATCAATTACATTTCTGAAGGATAAAATAAAAAGAATGATGAAGACACATGTCCCAAAATAGATTGAATAAAACAATTTCCCTATGATTAACAACAGCAACTATATCATGTTTCATATTTTTAATCTCACGGGAATTACACTAATAGCTTATCAAGATTCTCTTGAAAACTATGTTAGAGACATAATAATTAAAGCTTTGTCACATATCTCATTTTCAATAGTTTGCATTCTATTTAATTGTTTTGTTGCATGTTAATATAAAAAACTACAATTGATAAGACAGATCATGGAAACATGATCAACATGTATTTGTAATAGATGAATATACAATTGAAATGAGATGAATTTCGAAGAAAAACAAAAGTTGAGATTGACCTAACTTCTCTCTAAAGACATCCAATGAGGAAGAAAGCTTCACGGCATTGTGATCAACTTGTTAAGTTCTACAAACTGGCGCAAAATGAAGATTTATACCTGAGAATGTTCCTTCGCTAGTAATAAATACTATTTCTCGAAGAATTGAGAATTTAATTTTAAAAATTCAAGCAACAAGACGTGTGACTATTTACGATCGGAACTGGTTGCGATCATCAGTTCTCGAAGAGAAAACAACGGAAACTAAAGATTTGAAGTTTGTTACTTTTCCTTGAAAAAATGAATTAGTATCTCCAAAAAACAATTCATTTTATCCCTTCCGACTCATATTACTAAATCGTACAAGTGTACCGGAAAGTTGTCACATACTTAATATTGAATCAATAAAATATCTTCAAGACTCATCCATTGTGATAGTTAACCACGAAATTTTTTTTTTCATTAATCAAATTTAATTACTCTTAATTATTAGTGAAAACATATGTAATTAGTTTGAAATAAAACATTTGTTTTTATAACTTACAATTCAGTAACATCAATTGGTTCCCAATCATTTTCATGTCCTCCTGTATTTTTTCTATAACATAAATATAGAAGTATAGGAGAATATGGTTTAGCTATAACACTTGTTAATCCACAATCAGCAAGTGTTTGATTATCATCATCCATTATTTGTTTAGTTGAATCAATTATTAAACGTATATTATTTGATGATACTTTTGTAATACCTTCAATCATTTTTTTTAATTCCAAAACTGTTGAAGTTTCTTTATTATCAAGAAAAAGTGTTAATTTTTGTCGACGAATCATCATAAATACATCCATTATTAAAGAAGATATATGAATATCAAATATAATTTAAAAAATCTGTCCCGTTTTTTTTCTTTTAGTAAAGAAAATTCTTGATTGAATGAGTAAATAACTATTCTCAATTGGATCAAACCAATCAGACTAGATTATCCTTCCTCTTCTAAATGTCAAAAACCATAAAGTAACTGTATACCAGATGTCACTATTAACTGATATTTTTTTTTTTAATATCAATTTCATTTTTCTTTCTTTTTTTTTGAAATGAGAAATATAATCGATTTATCAATAAATCACATCTCGTTTTGGTTCATAGAGCGACCGAGATGAAATTATAGATATTTACAGTCGTATGAAAATGTATAAATAATCGATGTCTGTATTCATTTGAAGGTAATAACGAATAAGAAATATAATTAGTTAAGGTAAAAGGTAAAATATTGATTTATTTTTAATGTTGTCTATGTAATGGTTTCTATTAATTACGAAATAGATATTTAAAAAACAATAATGCCTAAATATAATTCTATAATTTCACGTGCAGTGAATATTGTTGCTCAAAAATTAGCTGGTATGAATCCAGATATAATAACTCGTTTTACAAAGATTTTAAGTGAAGAAGCTCGAATAATTTATGAAGAACTTCTATATAGTGGTCAAAATGTTGATGTAGATATTTTAGCTGCAAGATTAGATGGAATTCTAAAACGAATGAAATATGAACTTCGTAATAAGGTTTAATATTAATATTTATAATTATAAATTTGTACAATATTCTCCCTTCTTTTTTTTTCTTCTACAAAGGATCCTGATCCATCACCATATGAATTTCCTATTTTCAATGTATCATATAATCCGTATGAACCTAATCCTAAACCAATCAATCATCTATATAATAAACATTATAAAAAAGTGTCCTCAAATTTTATTAAACCAAATCAACGAACATATCCAACTTCACAACAAAATTTTGAATCAATACAAACAACACATCCAAATTCATCATTATATCAAGTTTATCAACAACAACAACAACAACCAATTATTGATTGGCATTCTTTAGAACCACCTATAACATATTATCAAAAACCAATAACATCAATTGATAAATCATCTACTATATATCGTTCATCAACAGGTGATAATATACGTTCACGTTCATTATCACGTTCAACTAGTGATAGTGAATTAAATTATTCTGTACATTCAAATTTTCAAACTCATCAAACTTCAACAAAATCAAATCATAAATCGAATACTAATGAGAAAAAATTAATAACAACAAAACGAATATATACTTCACCAAATACTGTTATAGGCTCTCAAACAATCAAAGATTTATTTCAAGTTATAAACAATGAAAAATCTACACTTTCACCATCAACATCAACAACTACACGTGTTATTATTATCGATCGATATGATCCAAATTCATCAAATAATAATCAATCGAAAAATAAAAAAGAATTATTAAATACATCAACATCAAAAACATCTACTACTGTTTCAACTAGACCTTCAACAGATTATGTAATGCAACAGTCGACTTATTACAATCCACGACAGCCGGTTATGTATACGTCAATGCCAAATAATATCTATTCAACTAGAGCATCCTATGTTACTAACACATCTGGATATTATCCATTAGTATACTATCGATAGAGATTAAATGAACAATTGAAGTAATTCATTGGATCTTTTTTTTTAATAAATTTTTTAGCATTAAAAGAAAAAATCTATTTTATATTTTATTTAAGATTATTTATTTATTTAAATAAATTTTAGATTAAAAAAATGGAATATTATGTTCATAGGTAGAGTTCTGATTAAGCAATGTAGAAAAGAATAGTATATGGCATAATGAAAAGATATACTTCTTTTATAAGCTTTGGGTCAGTAGCAGAGGCAGAGAGACTCCTCCCTACGAACCTTTGAGTCTCCTAACCTAAAATCCTGGCTTCGCCGCTGCTTTGGGTATGTTTACAATAGTTGCCAAAAGTTCCACTGACAGGTAATAAATACCTTGATTTGAATCATCTTGTCTGATATTTTTACTACAAACAGAGCTTAATAAACTTTGATCATAAACATCAAATCGAGATGGATCGGCCTAAATGCATCGGATTTAGAATAAAAATACTGGTTTTTGTTATAATCATAAAACTTTCAGGAAGTACTGGATTACAGTAGAGACCTCACTGGAGAATATTTCAGCATTACAAGTTACTTTTTGATGAATTCAATTAATTGTCATGCTAAGAATATCCAAATATAAAATAAAATAAGAGCCTTTGACACGAAATTTTTATCGATGATAGAGATAGTACTGAGCTCTCTTATTAGGTATTAAGCGTTGTATAACTTGTGGTGCAAGGTAAGCTTTTTCTATACTCTAACTGAAAAAAATTTTCTAATCCTTATTCTATCCTACAGGTGACAAATCAAGATTTGATTCCAATTAATACTCGTATAAAAAATTTGTCTTATTTTTATTTTTTATTTTACTTTAGTTAGAAAACAAAAAATTATATTTTGAAAATACTATAAATTTGATTGTCTTGATTAGATGTCGTTAATCTACAATAATATTGTAAATAATTTCTTTTCTTTTTGGCTCAAACTTTCGACCATAGTCAAGTAAACATGTATCCAAAATGTATATTATGGAACGAAAATTTTCTATTTTATCTGTATAAATTATTTTATCATCTACAATAAAAATGAACAATGGCGATGTTCAAGGTAAATAATTCTTTTTTTTTCATCTTATTTTAATTAAATTTCAATATTATGTTAAGGTGAAATCGTCAAATTACAACAACATCTTGTTCTTCTTCGTGAAGAATATGTTAAACTTCAACAACGATATAAAATATTAGAAAAAAATTATAATATTCTTAATGTAACAACTAAAATTGATCAAGATTCATTTGTATGTCGTCTACTTAAAACAATCGCTGACTTATTTAATCGTGAACTTTACAGGTAAATATTAAATCAAAAAACAAATCATTAAGTTTTTACTGTTTTTTTTTTCTCCGTCTTTTAAAGTGATATATCAATTAAACTTGATGGAGAAACTTTATATGGACATCGATTTATTTTAGCAGCACGTAGTCTTAAATGGGATTCACAAGAATTAGATGATATAACTGAACTTGATCTATCAGGTAGAAATTTTATTTTAAAGAGAACGAAGAAAAATAAAAAATAAATTTCTTTTTAGACATTCCATATGATGTTGGATTTCAATTAATAAAATGGGTTTATACAGATGAAATTGTTGAAAAACAAAATGAAGATTTTTTATTAACTTTAATGAAAATAGCAAAACGATTTGAATTAAAAGAATTAATTGATCAGTATGTATACATTTTAAAATAGGGTAATTTAACTCATGACTTGAATTGAAACAATGTTCTTTTTCAAAAACCTATGAATTTTATTTAAAAATCAAATTTTCTTTTTTCTTGAAGTATTTCCGTGTTTAGAAATGTCTGAATCATATTCATAATGAGTGTATCAAGGTCAGAGTATCCTACTGTATATATGTCAGAGAAACCTTTGATTATTTTATGGTTTTTTAGCACTTGATTATAAAATATTTCGAAATGTTCGATCTACTAATTTATTGAAAAGTTTTTCATAGAACGCTATAGAAACTAAACGGATAACCACGTACTTTTAAAAGAATATATTCAACTGTGAGGCGCTGTTCGGCTTCATATTATGATTACGAATAGATATTGGTCAGACTAAGTCATTTGCTGAAAAGAATTCAGGCACATGACTTACTGTTTAATGAAATTTTTATTGAGATCGAGGCATTTTCGAAAAGTTCAAGTTCGTTTTCGTTTAAACAATCATAAGTCTTTATCAGAAGGACATAGACTCGAATCCTTTTAAACTTATCTTAGTCTCGCCGATATCTACTTGTAGTCAAAATATGAAGTCGAATACTCGGGTATGTTCTCTTATGAGATAAGTCTCAACAAAGAACACCCGAAAAATTATCTGGTTGGCAACTGACCCAGTGCAAGGATATCTTGAACTCAATATATTCATTAGGGTCTATATTTGATTTTTATTTTCGCATACCGTTATCGCTAATCGCTTAGAGTGCTTACATGATATGCATATCTAGCTTATCCATCTATGTTCTTAATGGACCGATGTATAATTCTAACAATATCGGTAATGAGTAGAGGTGTAAGCCGATGGGTTGGGAGTCCGCCTTTGTGACACAGAAATAGATATTTGATTTTTCAAAATATCCGACGTTTCAAATAGGTTTTCTCGCTTTCTAATTTCAAAATTTCAGTCGCCGCCGATCGATGCATCGGTTTAATGAGTAATGTATTCATTTCTTTACGTGTCAACTTGTGTAACATCTGTATCATTCAATTCAATTCATGAGTTATCCTGCTCTGATATATTGAAATTTTCAATATAAAATCTCCGTTTTTTTTTTAATGTATAGATGTGAAGTTGCATTAATATCAGCTGTAAATGTTCGTAATTGTTTAAAATTTTATAAAATAGCTGAAGAAATCAATGCATCTGTTTTACAAATACATTGTAGTCAATTAATTAGTACACATTGGGTAGAAGATTTTAAATTAACGTTTTTTCTTTTTTTTTTAAATAAAAATTTAGACTGATTTTACAAGTGAAGATTTTCAATATTTATCTGCAGCAATGACTTATAAATTATTTAAAGAAAAAACAAAATATTCACTTCATCAAGCTATACGAATGAAACGTGAAGATGTTCTTTTTCTTTATTTAATTGATCATGATGAAGATGTAAGCAAAAAAAAAAACAAAGAATATGTAATCCTTGTTTTTTTTTGTTGTTGTTGTTTTTAGTTAGAAGAACGTGTTAATGAAATTGATGATCAAAATGAATTAGCACTTGAATTAGCATTAAAAACAAAACAAGATAGTATGGCAGAAAATCTTGTGCGTCATAAAGCAGATATTAATCATATTGATAATAAAAATCAAACATTACTTCATTTAGCTATTAAACGAGGTGAAATTTTATTAATTATTTTTATGTAATTTTTATCAAAAACAAAAAAAAAAACATTTTTAGGTGATGAACATTCCGCTAGTTTTCTTATTAAACATTTATGTTTACTTGATCATCAAACAAATATTTTACATGAAACACCATTACATCTTCTTAGTAGTCTTAATCCAATGGAAATTTCATCAGATATTATGTCTGGTATGTGTCGTGTTGCACAATTAATACTTGAATATGGAGCTGATACAAATATAAAAGATATACAAGGAAATACATGTCTTCATCGAGCTATATTAGTTAATAATATGGATGTTTTTCAAGAATTATTAAAATCACCAAATATATCATTAGATGAAAGAAATATTGATGATCATGTACCACTTTGGCTTGCTCTTCAACAAGCTGAACAACAACGTAAGTTAATAGATAAATTATCATTGAAATGATAATGAATTCCTCGTATACATTGATCAACCATATACTAGCTACGAGGACAGATGTATGTCACAACTTAGTCAGCATACTATCGGACGGATGATTCAAGGCGAATAGCCGTTAGTAATTTATCCAGGATTATTTCAGAACTGACGATACTGCAGTTTGAATACGTGTCGTACAGAATAGTGACTTAGCCATGACTGTCAGTACTTATGCGAAAAGTCTTTCAACTGATAAATTGCTTTAGAGTCAAGATTATGTAGATCTAAATACGTTATGAATATCTTGAAAAGACTTTGTATTCTTAGTTTATTGCTACGGATTATGATATTTTTAAAATGAATGCTGCGGTAACTCGAATTTTGACTTGAACTGTTGTGTAGAGACAAGTCTTAATGAGAATAGAATTTTTTTTGTGAATATTTCAGATCTTGTCGTTGTTCCTATACTAAGAAACAACTATGATGCATAGCGTATCGTGTATATCGCTCATATAACAATGGTAGATTTGATGTTCTTATTTCAGGATAGAAGTAAATCAAAATACTTGAAACTTGCATAATAAACTACTCTTAATTAAGATCTCTCTATGCAAAGTTTCAAGTCGAAATTCAAAAATCAGTTTTTCTGTTACCATGACACTTATTTTTAAAAAAATACCATAAAAGTTCAGTATTTCGGCAGCAAATCAACTAAAAACACGAACACTCTTCAGAATATTCATACTTTATTTAGGTCTACATAATGCATATAGTTTCGATTCAAAAGCGATTTATCAGTTAGAAGACTTCCCTTATTCATCAAAATTATCTACTAACAAATTTCAGATCCAATCGTCTGAATAGATTTGACAAAGTTTGTGAGTCATGATTTGTTTTTTTGTAAGACCAAGATTAATATGACGATAATACTTTCATGAATATCACTGAAGTCCTACTATTATTTACTATATGGAGCTGATATTTTCGGTGTACATATGCAACAATAAATTCTAATCGCAAGCATCTCAACCGGTCCTGCCATAATTCTAGTACATGTACCGAAAATATCATAAAGAATAGTAACATTCTAAGAAGAGGGTGGCATCTGCATTTGTGGGGTATCTACCATACTAATACTTATATTCATTAATGTGAAATTTCGTTCCTAAAATCCTTGAGGGAATATTTTATTCACGAAAAAACACATGCTACTCCGAACATGGTCTAGTCTCTTCCTGATACCACAGAAGCATTTTTTTTTAACAATAAGATTAAATATTAAAAATACTTTTAAATAGATAATTATATATAATGATATCGATTTATTTGATACTAAAATAGTTCTATTATTTTTAAACAAAAATATTTTAGATATGGATTTTAACAATAAAACATTTGCTAGTTTACTTGTTGAACGTGGTGCAAGTATTGATGCTATTGATCCATTATTAAATGATTCACTTTTACATAAATGTGCACGTCATCATTATCAATCAGCTGGTATTTATTTAATAGAAAAAAATGCTAATATTAATCATATGAATAAACAAGGTGAAACAGCATTACATTTAACATCACAATTTGGATTAGAAAAATTAACAAATACTTTATTAGAAAATGGTGCTAATCCAAATATTCAAACATATATAACATCATCATTACCTGATGAAATTAATATAAATGTTGGTCTTCAAACAGCCATTCATCGTGCTGTTTATGCATCACAAGAACGTATACTTGATATATATATAAATATGTATGAAAAAATTTCTAATGAAAATTTAAAACCAAATTTTAATTTACAAGATGAACATGGTCAAAGTGCTTTTTCTTTAACACTATGGATGAATATGTTAACAATATCAAAACAATTATTACAAAAAGGTTATGCACAAATAGATATTGTTGATATAGAACAAACACCTTTATTAGCACAAGCTATTATTAAACAAAATGTTCAAGCAGCTCTTTTTTTACTTGAACAAAATGTTGATGTTAATCAAAAAATACATGATTTATGTCCAATACAACTTGCTGTTAAATATCATTTACCATCAGTTATTGAAGCACTTTGTCGAAATAGTGTTAATATGAATGTTGTCGATGAAAATAGAAATAGTGTTCTTTGGAATGCATTAGATTCTGGTCAAGAAGATATTGCAACAATACTTGTAAAGTATGGTTGTGATAGCACACAGTAAGATATTTCTATTTCATTTTATTCAATTAATAGTTATCTCATTAGTTACAATCTCCTATTAATAGTAAAATGATTATTAAACTAACAAGAAAAGATCATCAACTTACAGACGTCATTTGACTCTATATTATGGCTGCAAGATAGGTGTCTATGAGACTAAAAAAGGACTAAAAGAATTTGGATTCATGACCTATGACAAGGGATATCCGAAACAATCGAATTAAAAAATTTCGATCTGAAATTTTGTCCATAGATAGGTCTAATGGTCCTTAGAATCGCCTGAAAGTTTTAGCCAAAACGAATGTTCCTTTCTCGAGGTATCAAATTTTCAAATAAACTCAGTTTTTATGATTTGTCTCTGAAAGTGACTCTTTTTTTGACAGTTCAATATCTCGAGAAAGGAGCACTCGTTTTGACTGAAACTTTCAGGCGATTCTAAAGACTATTTGACCTATCAATGAGCAAAATTTCAGATCGAAATGTTTTAATTCGATTGTTTCAGAAATTCTTTGTCACAGGTCCAAAATTCAGTCAAACGATCATAACTCTTCATCAATAGGCCATGAATCCAAATCCTTTTAGTCTTTTCTTAGTCTCATAGAAACCTATCTTGTAGCCATTATATAGAGTCGAACAACGTCGGTGAGTTGGAGACCTTCCCTCGTAAGTCTTTGTCGAATAATGAATATCGTTGTAAGAATCAATGATAGTGTATATCACGACGTAGACATGGGCGACACCAGTCACTTAAGGTACTGGTCCTAGTCCCGATTAAATAAAATTTAGGCCTGATCGTGATCGAAAAAAAGACATTGACCCGGTTTCGTCAGGAATGGGATCATTTTAACCATATCTGTTTAGAACACCTAAGTTGTGACATAAAATGCAAGTTTTGCGTGACTATAAAAAAAAATATCGCTCCCAGTGAAAAAGTGTTGGTTCTTAATTGTTCGAATAGTTTGTTGAAATGTAACTGAATATCTCTGATTTGTGAACACTTTTGAAAAATCAGCTCTTATTTGAAAAAACTAGATTTATGGAAAAACGAAATTAAGAGAATAAATTTATATCAATTAGATCTCACTTGAATGTCTCCTTGTTAATAAAAATTTTTGACTGTTGAATAGTAATAATGTGTGAAGTTCACAGTTTTCTTTTTTTGAATTCGTACGAAAATCTACATTTTATCGTTCATTTATAGATGGTCAAATGGACCTGATAATTGTCGACAAACATTATTACATCGAGCAATTGATGAAAACAATGAAAGTGTTGCTTGTTTTCTTATAAGAAGGTATATAGATATTAATCAATTCTTTTTTTCAAAATCATATATTTTATTTGTTTCAGTGGTTGTGACATTAACTCTCCTCGTCAACCAGGTTTAAACGGTGAAACACCTGATATATGTAAAACTCTTGAAAGTCCTTTACATCTTGGTAAACATGGAAGAGATTCTTTTTGTTTTTATTTTTGTTTTATATTCTTTAATTTCTTGTAGCTTGTCAATGGGGTCTTGAGCGAGTTGTTTCAACATTAATTGAACATCATGCTGATATTAATAAAAAAGTAATATTATGAAATTAATATAACTATTTCAAATAATTATATTTATTTAAGGATACTGAAGGAAATACACCTCTTCATGTTGCAATTATTAATCAACATATAACTATAATAAGTTTATTAATTCGTGCACCTAATTTAGATCTTTTAATTCGTAATAAACAAAATCAAACATCATTTGCTTGTTCAATTGTATCAAAAAATAATGAAGCAGCTAATCTTATTTTAAAACGAGAACCAAAAGCAGCTGATCAAGTAAATGAATAAAATGTCTTTCAATTGTTTTTGATAAATAAATCTTTTTTTTTTTTTATTTAGCTCGATAATAAAGGTCGAAATTTTCTTCATATAGCTGTACAAAATGGTGATATTGAAAGTGTTCTATTTTTATTAACTGTTAATGTTAATGTCAATAATCGAGTAGATGATGCTAATCAATTAACTCCACTTCATTTATGTGTACAAACAGGCAATGAAATTATTTTAAGAAATCTAGTAAGAATGATGTTCTTTTTTTATTTGAACGAAAGCATTAGCAAAAATTCAATATACATATATATATATATATATATATTTAGTTACTTGCTGGAGCTAATATTAATGATGTAACAGCAAATCGTCGATCTGCTTTACATCTTGCTTCAGAGAATAATCGTGGTTTTATCTGTAGCATCCTTCTTGAAAATCATATTCAAGCAAATTTACTTGATTCTAATCACAATACTGGTATGTATATGATCTATTTTTATTTTGTAAATTAATGAACGAGTTATTATCAAATATTTTCTATTTATGGAAAAGGTAATCAAGATTAACATGTCTTAAATCAGTTCTAAGTCGATATTAGGGATTTGAAAATTGAGAGAAAAAACATTCTGTTATCTAAGATACTCACGGTGATCATTCCAACCGTCGGAAACGGCATAGCACTGCATTAATTGTCGCCATAATCTGTCAGCCTGTTTTATGAGTTTACAGAAAGTGATGACATGAAGACGCCGTTTTATATCGTTTACAACTATTCTCTTCGATATAAATAGTCTCTAATATTGAGTTTACCTTACTGTCCTACCTGTTCAATCCCAGATAAAAAAATTAGGCATAATCGTATGAAAATCGTACAAAAAAAAACCGCAGTCTCAGAAATCTTACATCAGATCATACTATAAGATTCTTGAAAGATCTTATCGCTACATAAGATTTCCTATAGTCTGATAGTAATATCTTACAGGATAGCAAGATCTTTCAAGAATCTTAAAGTACGATCTGATGTAAGATTTCTGAGACTGCGATTTTTTTATACAATTTTCATCTAATTTTACCTTCTGAGTGTTTAACCTGGATTAGTATAAGTGGAACTGAAAATTATGTAAGACTCACACTAGTATCTTGTAGTTAAAAACATATTAAATCTTACAGTAAGATATTTCTATATGTTATATCTGATAAGCAAGAGAGACAATCAAGAAACAAATCAAAAGAATATTTGAAAAAATACCTGACACAACAAAAGACAAGAGATAGCTATAGTTAACAACATGTATATATACAGAAAAAAGAGAACAAACACATATTGATAATATCTTTAACAGATTTGTCTTATGGCACATCTTACGTACCATTGATGTCCATCGTGGCTGAGAGTCTACTGCTGTCGCAATGGTTTTCAAAAAACTTTTCGAAAATTATTGCCATCATTCTACTGAACTAGAATTGTTGGTATGAATCGATGAGATTTATCTAGTCTCTAGGTATTACATTTATGGACATCTGTATTATGTACATGGCATAACAGTACGATTTCGTAAGATTTTCCTATCTGAGTTTTACATTGTTATTGTTGAATAACGATGAAGTTGTTATTAATTATTGAAAAATCTGATTGATTACATCAAATAAAAATGTTATCGAGCAATTGGATAAAAGAAGAAGCTTCAATCTATTTGAAATATAACAAAAGTCTCGCAGCATAGACCGATAGTTTTTGTCCGGTATCGAAAACACGGTACAATAAATCAAAAGCTTATATAAAAACTTTTTCAAGAACTATTCATATTTTATTCGTTGCATGTTTTATATATTAATTTTTTGATTTCATTTAGCACTTCATTTGGCTGTACAACATGGTCATTTAGATGTTGTACGTCGTTTACTATCTGAATCGGATATTGATGTATTTACACTTAATAATAAGTAAGATAAAAATGTTTTTTTCTTCTTCTTCTGTGTTGATATGTTTCATTTTCTAGAGGAATGAATTGTCTTCATGTTTTGGCATCGTATAGTAGAGAAAATGCACATTTAATATTTACTATTTTACTAGAATTTTATCCAAAATTTCCTCTTGATGTTCAAGATGCACAAGGAAATACAGGTTTGTTCGACATGAATTTTTTTTGTTTTTAATTCATAAGATTTATTTAGCACTACTATTGGCTTATAAAAATGGTCATGGTCAATTATGTCGTGCACTAGTAGCAGCTGGTGCTAATTTAAGTATTTGTAATTATGATTCATTTTCAATATTTACTATGCCAACTGCAAGTAAAGCTTTATTAGTTAGTATACTTGGTAAGTAATAAGATTGTTATTGCTAAATAGAATCCATCGGGTTGATCCAAACGAGCTCTAGTCATCTAAGAAATATACCCGGAGTCGTGAGTTTCCGAAAAAAAAGTCATTTTCAGCCGGAAACGGCCCATATTTCTTTATCTGAGTGTAGGACGTGCTTGTCATCAAATACTAAAAAAATAGAAAAATGTGTGTTTAGTGTCCTTCCGGCGGTTGTTCAAATCTGATTAGAAAATTTCATTCAAAATATGAAAACACAGTTCGAATGGATCAGAAAATGTTAGACCTGACGAGCTGTATTACTAATTCTATTCTAATTTAACAGATAACATTCCACGTGAACCTCCATGGGGCGAAAGTGAAACATGTTTAGAATGTGGAACGAAATTTACTATAACAAATCGAAGACATCATTGGTTTGTATTTTATTCTTTATTATTTTTTGAATGTATTTTCTTAATAAATTTATTCTTTTAGTCGACATTGTGGTCGAGTTTTATGTAAACGATGTTCTCTTAACGAGTTACCAATTATGAAATTTAATTTACAAAGACCAGTGAGAGTATGTCAATTATGCACTGATGTATTGACTCATGGTGTTATGGCTGCTCGATAAATTAGAGTGTGTGTGTGAAAAAGATCTGATTTTATATGCTTATGCAAATCTTACGAAATTCTTTTCTCAAATTTATAATTTTATCTATAAGATTTAACTAGTCAAGTTATGATACTGAACTTTTTCTTCTTTTACTTTGCTTATTTTCGATGTTGTGTTGAATTGAATTTCATTAATTGATACTCTTTTCTCTGAAAAAATGTTTTATTTATAGCAAAGATCTTAATATATTTATTATAATTGTCAATTGTTCTAATGTAATCAAGCCATTTGTGATATGCAAAAAACTTCTTTTTTTTTTAATTCATCCTGATTGTCAACTATTTTACAGTTTCATTTTTTATGATATTTCGAACAATAACAATACGCATATACTAAAGAAAATTATTAATCATATTCAATACATTATAAGAATATATTATTTATGAAAATATTATTACTGCTTATTTTCTTCAAAGAAAGCATCGTCATTCTTTTATATATCGCATTTATAATCAATGTTAAAACTGCTGTATTAAATACTTTTTCAGAATTGAAAATCGTTTCGGCGCCACATGTCTTAAGAATATCCAAACCGACGATTTTGACGTCCGAATCCATGAATTTACTGCAGGTTTTCGACGAACAGACGCCAGAAAATGGTAGAAACTTGAAAGCAAGAACCCAATGATTGGATACAATGGCCAAATTTTTCTAGTTTCGGTCGTAATCAGTCATAGTTGACCACTGAAGTCCTGTATATAGCATACGCTTTATCTAGGACTGGTCCGACCAAGCGGAGAGTGATACTCTCGTAGTAATTGAAAATTTTTTATTATTTTTACCAATTAAAAATTAAAAAAAACAAACATATAGTAGATGTCTGCTAACTTTTTTCCGAGATATGGAAGTAGATAAGGTCTTTCTCCAACAATCTATAAAAGTAGAGATGTCCATTGTGACAGCAGTAGGTTTTTTCTGAAGGACATGCATGAATTTCATTGTCTACAAATATAACATTCTGACACTCGATGAATCTCATGAATTGATTACAACAGCTTTTGTTGAGTACAATGACGGCAGTGAAATTCCATACACTTTTTTTGAATACCATGCCGGTACTTACAACTTCTTTCATAGTTCATCTCGGCGCAGCAGCGACAAGTTTTTAGCTGCAATGAACATTTTTGCTATTTTTCAGACGCAATTTATCATCTGTAGAGATTCACTCACAAATATCATATGTTGTACCAATATGAAATCAATTTACTTTTTCTTACAGTGAATTACATTTATGTTGTTGTTCTAACTATCTGAAGAAAAGTATTTGTTTACGCCTAATATCAAAGTAAACTATCTACACATGTTCTCAATACAAATGAACGAGAAAAGACTTCAATGATATTGATCAAAAACGACGTAAATATCGATGAATTATGAGGAAAATAGGATATTTTTGCCCATATATTACAGTTTTCGACATAATGCCGGCTTCCATTGATCAACTCAATGGCATATTCAGAGAGAACAGGAAAAACTATCTCTAGTTGACAGTTTTACTTAAGTTCAAAAATATACCGGGTGGTCCAGATTAAACGGTGATGTTAGTATTTTCACTAAAAATTTTTCATGTTTCATGTCATAGAGCTGATTTTTTGTTTCAAAAGAGTTGTTATCAAATTCTCTACAACACAGTGTTTTTTTATTTATTTAAGAAAAGCATCGTCAATTTCCAAAACACGAAACAATCGTTTCATATAGTCATCAACGCTGTTTAAAGTAACTTCTTGTTTCATTTTTTTTTGACACTACGTTCTAACTCGTCAATAAGTGTTGATTTTTACGATACATTGTTCCAGTTCATCCCATGGACAGTAATCAAATGAATTAAGATCTGGTGAATTAGCTGGCCAATGATCTTTCTGTACGAACACTGGTAAATGTTCTTTACATCATTGTTGTGAGAGACGATGAGTATGAACCAGAGCATTGATTTTGCCGAAGGATCGAATTACTGCCTAACATCTTATTGCCTGATTTCAAACTAACAGGTAACACTTCTACTCATGATTTAAAATATTTGTATCTAGGACTATCAATGGGTTTACCAAGGAAGAATTGGCGGATTCCCGGGATTCTGAATCCCATGGAAATTCAGAAAATCCTATGGGATCCCGGGAATCCCACGAGAATTCTATGGGAATCCTGTGGAAATTCCAAGAATAATTAAACTAGATGTCTGAACAACACTGAAATTATAACTCATGCTCAAGCATACCAAGTATCAATTCATTCACTTAATATTTTGAAACCCATTCCTTTAAAAGAACCATGTAGAAGTCAGTAGTGTCAAACTTGAAAGTTGAATTCAAGTACTCAATTATCAGTTCAAGCATTCAACTATTCAATTATTGAAGTATTGAAGTATTCAACTATTCAAAGATTCCAAGTATTCAACTATTCAAAGATTCACGTATTCAGGTATTCAAGTATTCAACTATTCAAGTACCCAACTATTCAAAGATTCAAGTATTCAACTATTCAAAGATTCAAGTATTCAACTATTCAAAGATTCACGTATTCAACCATTCAAGTATTCAACTATTCAGCTATTCAAATATTCCACTATTTAAGCATTCAAGTATTCAACTATTCAAAGATCCAAGTATTCAACTATTCAACTATTCAAAGATTCAAGTATTCAACTATTCAAGTATTCAACTATTCAAATATTCAAAGATTCAAGTATTCAACTATTCAAAGATTCACGTATTCAACCATTCAAGTATTCAACTATTCCACTATTTAAGCATTCAAGTATTCAACTATTCAAGTTTTCAATCAGTCAGAGCCTGGAACGCTACAGGGTTCTCTAGAATGTTGCCAGTATTACATAGGATGTTAGAAGCTTCTTCTATAATGCTACAAGCAGCTCCTAGGATGCTATAGGTTTTGGTTAAGATGCTTCAGACATTTTCTGGGGCGCTACAAGAGCTATGTGAGAGGCTTGAGCTACTGTGCAGCAATGAGTAGGAACAATGATGTGCACAAAGACGTGCATGGTTCGCGACGCTGAAGTAGAAGGTGAGTTAGGTGGAGAAAAGCAGTTCCCCACTGAATATCTGCAGAACATTTGAGAAGTTAAAATTTGAATAGGTGAATACTTGAAGCTTGAACACTTGAAACTTGAATAGTTGATTAGTTGAAACTTTAACTAATCAATAATTGAATACTTGAATTCAAGTTTCAAGTATTACATGTATGTTGTGAGTATAAGAAAAACCATTAAAACAGGTAAAATAGAATTTTATTATACAGATTTTGTAGAGAATTTTGCAGCGCATCTTTTCAAAAAGAATTCAAGATGTTATCATTCATCTAAGCCGCGATATTTGCGAAATAAAAAATGTTACAACATTATGGACACCTCATAGTAAAAAGAAAAATACCACTTTCTTTCTAATTCATTTTTTATACTTTTAACTGCATTTAATGTTCAGCGTAAATATATCAAAAGATGCAGTACGTTCCAAGCTTTCTCACTATATATAGTAGATTAAAAAAATAAAAGAAGTATAGTAACAAAAAAAAGCAGTAAGGAAAATTTTAATTGGCTCCACTGTAACTGATCATATGGCAAAATTCATAATTATCTTCTTTGTCAGCTAGCAATGAATCCCAATTTCATGCAATAAGAGTCTCCGAGCCAATTTCTCCCTCAATCTCAAACTCTTTTTCTCTTGTGTCAAATTGATGCCAAAAACAAAGAATATAGCCATAGATAGAGAGCCTCTTATCTTTTAGTAGATAGAAAAGCTGTGCTACTGCCTTATTGGTTTCAGCATGTTCAACTCTCAGATTACTGAATGAATAAAAGGTGACACATAAGATGCCATAGATTCATTTGATTCGACATCTGTGTTATATGACTCATTAATTTACCTTGTTTCTTGCTGCTGTTTGTTGGTCTACCTCAGACATTTTCCCATAAAAGTTAGAAAGTAAATTGTCGTGTTGTCAAAATGGAGTTGATACCAATCTAATTAGATTGATTGTATAGAATTTGTGAAATAGATAACCCTAACGAACTATCTGTGACTAAGTACATGAAATACATGAGCATCTGGAGCTAGAACGTCATGCGCTATGGACAAATCTTGAGAGCTGTGCAGTTCATGCGCATAAGAAAGAAAACTCTATATAGGAAAAGGTAGTTTCGAGTTTTAATCGCTTTTCAGATCGAACATTTTTCGCCAAAGAATAAGTTCGACTTGTGAAAATATATCTACTGCTTTTAATCACGGTTTTAATGAAAATCATTCTTCCATACGCGTGACTTTCTTAAGATTCTTGATCATTAAAGTGATGTGCTGTAGACAAGCCTTGAAGTCTGCACAGATCAAGCATACGAAAAAAAACTCGCCTAGTGAATGATTTTCCTCATTAGTTTAATGCAGCTTTTCTAACTATGTGATAAAGCAGTGAAGTCTTGACACTGAGCTCTATGAGATTTTTAGAACGAGGGTGAGGATCATAGAAGTTAAATATGAATTTTGAGAATGTCATTTGTGATTATAAAAATTCTGAGAATACGGGAATCCGAGATTCCCATGGAACTCCTGGAATTCCCAGAATTCTCGTGGGATTCTCGTATTCCTGGAATCTCGAGAATCCCACGTGAATCTTGGAAATCCCACGGCAATCCTATGGAAATCCGGGGAATCCAGAGAATCCCACGGAAATCTGCTAATCCTGGTAATCCAAAATCCGTCGTTTCCCCCTTGGGTTTTACCCATTTGGAGCAAGCACCTAACCACACCATCATGCTTAATTGAAAATTTACGTGTCTATGCCAATCCACCTTTCATATTTGCTTCAGCATGACTAAGTGCTCACATTCTATCATTTTGCTTGTTGTAAGCAGTATTCATGTTAAAAATTTTTTCATCAGAAAATAACCACTGTCTGATATCATCCTTTGTAAAGTTATTTTTGACTCATTTGGTGAATTTTTTCCAGTGAAGATTTTAGTCATAGGTAAGGGTTGGTTGCCTAATTATTTTTGTAAGATCGATAACCTAAGTCTTTTCTGATCGATCAGAACGAATCCGTTTGACGGTACGTATTCAACATGTAAACGGTGTCAATACAGACCACTTTCGGTCCGTATTTAACCGTATTATCTGGTGTAGAAATACAGTTCGTAATTTACTCATATCGCACATATATTGGCCGAATATGATGAGTTACGATATATGTAAAGGGGCTATGTTTGTAATGTAAATTATCCGACATATGCCATGAATTAGCAATCTACAGGTTGACCTTGATCTCATGATGTGGTCGCGTTGTGCAATCAATTTTAGTTATGGCATATTACTAGGTATCCCTGCTGCATCATATATGATTGTTTCTGTGCCCTGTGCTTCGATCTAGGGTTAGAATAAAGAGATAAAACAGAAACTAGAAAAATATTTTTTGTGGGAGGACCACTAAAAACAGAGTAACATTTGCCATCTATGGTACTTATCATTTATCAAAGGAGCAACGCACGAATAGTTTTTAAAAAAATTTTTTTTTTCGTTACCTTAATAATAGAGGCAATATTAATGACAATGAAACTTGACAGTCAGACTTTTGTTAAGAATTGCACTTTGTTATATTCTATAGAGCTCAACTAAAGCTATTGATTGATATATAAAACGGTTCAAAAATGTTGCTAGGAACTTGAGATTAATCAAAAACAAAGAACTTTGAATAAGATGCAAGCTAAAGAAAATATATTCTCGATAAAAAAATTAATAGAATTGTTCGGATCTGTGTCACTCTGCCAAATTCCCTTCTGCCAGTGACATTTTGCCAATTGGCAGAAAGTCATTGACTTTCTGCCAATTATAGCGATTTTTTGCCAATTGGCGGAACCGCCTCTGACGCGCTGCCAATTAAAGTGATTTTTTGCCAATTGGCAAAAATAGCCCATTGAAACTCAGGGATAACTTAAATTAATATTACTTCTATATGTAAAAGATGTCTGTCGGTTATAGTAGGGGAATATGAAAGTGGAAAGTTGATTGAATACGATTTGTTTGCTCTTTCCAAATGGCTATGAGCCATCGAATCGCTCTATTTTTGTTACCTTTTTCTTTTCTTCTTTTCTATTTTTCGTGTTTCTAGGTGTCTAACTGATTTAGTGTGTTGAATTAATGGACGGACATTCTCTTTCTGAATAGTCAAGTTGCTGAACTAAATTGTATTCATGTACAGTCCGTCTTATTACAGTGTATAAATACTGGGGTATCTTTCACATTTTCACATCATTTTAATTTTCCGTTTCATCCACAATAGACATGAGAATTGTTTTACTTCTCTTCTCGACTACTATGCTCGACTAGGCTTGAGTCTTCTCTCTATTCTTTAATTATATTTTATTTTCTAAGTGCACTCAATCTATACTTTCTCACTTCTCTCACTTTGATATGATCATTTTATTCGTTTTTTTGTAGATCAAGATCTTCATTTTGGACTCCTGTTAACTTATTAAGATATAAATATTATTTTTGTCTGTTATGCCACAAACCAAATCTTATTTCATTGAAAAGCGAATTACTTGTTCTGTCGCGAGAAGTATACTAAACAATAAATCGAATCAAACATCGTCGATGCCCATTGAAATTGATAATAAATTAAATAAAGATGTTGATGATAATGGAAGAAAAGAAATGAGGAAGAAGAAAAAAGTCATTCCAGCAGCAAATGTACTCACCTCAGGTATGTGTATAACCCATAAAACTGTGGATTTTTTCCACAAGTCAGGCTTATACGTTTCTCTTGTCTTTCACTTATAGGATTGACTCAATCAGAACTTTTATCAAATGTTAAAGATACTGGTGTCATACCATCTTCTACGATAACAGTCGATGTTGTTGATATTACATCGACACTTAAAGAAGCTCGTAGTCCAACAACAACAACAACAACTGCTGATGATAAAGAAGAACATGATGATAATAAGAAACAGAAGAAAGATGATGATGATAAACATTTTAAAGAAATTTATTCAATAGCTGTTGGTCCTATTACTTGGGGTAAAACAAAATTAGGTGGAGATATGTTATTTATGGAAGAAAGTATTTATGTGTTTCAATCCAAATCAGACAAGCTGAATAAAACATTATGGAGATGTCAACGTCGTGACAAAAAGTGCCGTGCAGTGGTGTACACGGATTCAACAACCGCTAATTATCTTGGTAATAATGGTGTCGATCACAATCATCCAACAGATCTTTTATCAGTGAAGAAACATCGTCTAGTTAATGATTTGAAACGTAAAGGCGAAGATCTTACTGTTAATATACCTGCTGCAGTGGATCAAGGAATTGCCAATCTGGGACTGAATGATGAAGACATGGTCAATTTTCCTCGTCCAAAAACAATGGGTAAGTTTCTTATTTTGTAGGCTAAGTTAGGGACAAATACTCCGAAGCTAAGCTTTGATTGAAACATGACTCGTTGAACTTGAAAATTTTTCTTTCACAGCTCGAGCCGTTTATCGACATCGTGCCAATATGTTTCCACCTTTGCCAAAAGGTCAAACATTTGAAATACCAAAACAATTTTCTCAAACAAAAAGAAATGAATCATTTGTTTTATATGATGGCTATAAGAAAAAATACGATGGAAGATTATTATTATTTTCAACTAATGAGTTATTGCAGCAGTTATGTCAAACAGAATTAATTCTAGTTGATGGAACATTTGCAAGTGTACCAACTGGGTTTGAACAATTAGTTGTTATTATGGGAACCATCAATGATGAAGGTGAGCAAATTGAAAAGTCCTAAGTTAACTTAGATTTATCGAATTTGATCTTTTCTTTTCTGTTAAATAGGCGTTCCATTGGCTTGGGCACTAACTAGTAACAGAAAGCAGCCAGCGTATGATAAAATTTGGTCTGAAATAATTAGTTGGTCATTGAAGAAACCATCACCAATGAAAGTAAAACGATTCATTCTTGATTTTGAAACAGCTCAACGTAATTCAATTGAACAACATGTACGTGTATACGCAGTGTTTTTTAAATTTGATCCTTTCGATTTCTCATATTACTCAAAATATTCTATCTCCGTTTTGTCTGATTTATAGTTTGTAGGAGCTGAAGTTACTGGATGCTGGTTCCATTTTTGCAAAGCTTTGTATAAAAATATTGGACAACTTGGTTTAATTACCAGTTATAAAGATAATGCAGCAATTAGAACGTGGCTTAGATCATTTATGTCTTTACCACTTGTTGATAATGATATTTTTCCATATGCAGTTGAATATTTACAAAGACATATTCCAACTGGTTCAGATCAATGTCGCGAATTTCTTCGTTACTTCGAATCTCAATGGCTTGTATCTGTTCCACGACAATATTGGCATGTGGGAAATTTAATTCCAAGAAGCAACAACTGGATAGAAGGTAATTTATTTTGTTTCTTTGATGAGGGGGCTTTCCTACTTTAAGTTAGTTCCATTGCCGAAGTTAATTTAGGACAGTAGAGATTGAAGTCACATACAACTAGAAAAAAGGTTCCTTAGGTTAAGTTAGTATCTGTAACCTAAGTCAAGTTAATGCCATCTCGTAAGTTAACTTAGATTTCTTTTTTCTTCTCGTTCTAGGATATAATAATCGTATTGGAATACGTTTTGGTAATCACCCTAATATATGGTTGTTTCTGTATCATTTATTAATTGAAGAACAAATAATTGAACAACGCGTACAACAACTCGTCGTTGGTAAAATTCAAAGAAGTGACAGTGCACATGCTCCACAAAATGATACAATAAGTCATTCAATAACAAATTTGAATAGAAAATATATTAATGGAAAGTTAGATATTGAAAAATATTTGAAGGCGTGTACATTTTTAGTTGGTAATGCTGATGTTGGTAGTGCCAATGCTAATAAAATGGTTTCATCAACAGCAACTACGGTATGTCCAACAACAACGCCACCAAAGAAAAAGAAACTTGCAACTAAAATATCAACAGCAGGACCAACAACAAAGACTCTCTTTCAACTAATTTTTTCTTGTTAAAAAAATGATGTATATTTACAGTGGAAATTTTTTTTTAATAATGTCTAATTTGAATAGATTCTAGATTCCAGAGAAGCGATTACCTATAAACCATAAGAGAATAAAAAATTATCTTTAAGTTTGATTTGAAAATATTTCCCTACATTAAGGTAGGAAGTCAATTGGCAGTGTCACAGCCAATTCTGCCAATTGGCAGAAATTCATGTGACACTCTGCCAATTAAAAAGATTTTTTGCCAATTTGGAAGAGAGTCTGTGACGCACTGCCAATTTTTGGAATTGGCAAAAAGTCACTGGCAGAAAGGGGAATTGGCAGAAAGGCTTTTTACCAGTTCTGACATGCTATGCTGCCTACGATCGCATGCATTCTATATTAATCGATGTGAAAGCGTAGAGAGATAATTAAGAGATGTTTTGACAAGAGAATCGAAAAACAGTCTATATGACCTCGTTTACGTGTCATACACAATCCTATGATAACGGCTCCGTTAAAATGTCGTAATTTGTATGTAAATATACTGTAAACAGATCTTCGTAAACGAAACTCTATGGATTGCCGTAAAGATGCCGTATTTTATCCGTTTACTGCTATATATGGACCGTTTTGTACGACCTGAGCTTTTTAATAAACGATGAATTGAAGTTTTATATGCTTTTACCTTTTTAGCCGAATTTTTTCACATGTCTTCTTCTTACTCAACCTTTTTTTCGCTTTGTACATGACCACCTTTGTTTGTACAGTATGTAAAGGACCTGGTGAAGCTGATGTATCCGCTGTATCCGTTGTACGTTATCCAGTTTCGTACTTAGAAAGTACGACTTTCTGTGTATCTTTGCTGAATATCATCGAATTTTATCTACAACAACTCTCACAGAATTCTTTAAATGATTTTTTTGTAGAGAATTTACATTTAGTCTGGACCACTTGGTGCAGTGCACGAGGAATCCTTGAAAGAGAGGCTATTTTGCTTATTCTAACTTCATCTTATCCGTATTTCGCGATTAAAAATAGTTGAGTATTTCTGGTAGTCTCAACTTATTCGAAGTCTGATAGAGCTTTGAAAATTGCATATAAAAGACCTTTTTTGTGAATCTTTTAGTGGTTCGTCTGTGTAACAAAGGGTTTAAAAACCCGGTTTAGGGTCTAAAAATCGGCTATTGACAAAAGCCGCTTCGCATTTCAGCATTACATCTCTGAGACTTGTCATAGTAATATTCGTGATCAGCATGACAGACTTGATATTCCTGGCAAACTTTGAAAAAAGTTTTTTTGAAAATTCGTAAGGGGTACGGAGGTCAGAAATTCCAACGTCATTTCAAGGAAAATGATTACTACAGCTTCGTAGTCCATATTAATCTTGTTATCCTCATATAGTTATTTCTTGAAAATATTTTGTACTGAAAGGTGAGCTTAATGCATTCGTCATTTTTCGTCAAAATAAATTACTAAAAAAGATTATTACAATAGAGAAAAAACCAGGACATAATAATCGACTTATGAAGTATAAAAAGTTGAACGAGATATAGATATGTTTATCTTTAGTTGTCATTATGCATGATTTCATTTATTACAAAGCAGAAATCGGGAGGTGAGTGACACCGCTCACCCCGGCATTGCTGTGAGACGGTACTCAAATTTTCAGCGATAGGGCACTACGATATTCAAGTATTTTACACGTCTATTGATACTACTATTTTTTTTCGTTACTTTTCAGATGGACAGATATGTAACGGATTCATCAGAGTGGAATGAAATTAAGGTGACTTTTAAGTTGCATTATGGATTTCTGTTACAGACATGTATCTTATGAGTACTGTGTCTATTCAAGGAAATATGCTACTGAATTCTTTATATAGAATGAATATGAAATTATATATAAATAATTAAGAAAACATTAAGAAAAAATTATACTTATTGAATAGAATTTTAAATATTCATGCTAATTTTTGTTAAGCATTTTTAAAGATTTATTTTATCAAGATAAAAATATATGGATATAATAAAGTGAAAAGAATAAATGAAGTTGTGATAAAAAGAATTTGTTTTTAAAGATAAAGAAATTTTAAACCAATAAAAAACTTTTATTGAAGAATTATACAGACAAAATTATATGAAAATAATATTATTCTCATTCATTAAAATAAAGTCAAATATGATAATGTCAAAAAAAAAGGTTTCAAAATATAACAAAGATTTCCTAACACAATGGATCATCTTTTGGAGCAATTCTTTATTTTAACATTAGTTCTAACTAATAGAAGTCCTACTCTTTTGCTTAAATAAAAAATATAATCAATGCTACTCAATAAATATATCTAAGGAATACAAAACCTCTATCGAACTGACGGATGAAGGCATCCAACGGATTAATCACTATTGAGTGAGGACTATATGCATCGCATAGACCCAAATGAATTTTGAATATCCGAAAAATATTTCGGACTCTTAACTTATCGCGGTGTAGATACTGCAAATTTACAGTAGTTTTTAAATGAATATCGTAATTCTCATCAAGAAGACTAGGAAAACTGATTAAAACTCTGTACAGAGACAGACTTTAACGAGAGTAGTTTATTGTGAAAGTTTCAGATCTTTTCATTTGCTTCTATCCTGAACTAAGAGAACATCGAATCTGTTGTTATAAATGATCGATGTAAAAGACACACTTTTGATGTCTTTGCAAAATTTCAAGTCGAAATTCGAAAATCAGTTTTATTTTACTACGGCATTCGTGTAAAAACTACTGTGAAAGTGCAATATCTCAATAGCAATAAGCTAAAGATTTGAACTATTTTCAGAGTATTCACAACTCATTTGGTTCTATATAATGTATGTAATCTTGGCTTAAAAGCAGTTTATCAGTAGGAAGCCTTTCCTCGTGAGGAAAATATCATCTCAGACTCAAGGTTGACGAGAAAATCTCTCCAGATGTCAAATCACTTTTCGATCGAGACGATGTTTATTTGATAAATGCTACTGAGTAATAGAAAAGTGTAGAATGGTTTGATTTTTTGGGCCTTCATTCTCAAGATATCGAAATTTCACTGGGTTTTTCGTCCCTTCAAGTTGCGTGAAAAATCAAGTTTCGATTTTGCACTAACAAAGTTCTTAATAAGATTAATTGATTATGCAACTATTTAGTAGTTTACTTTCTGGAGATGTAAACATATGAACAAAATTTGCTTTTACACACGAGAGAATTTCAAATATTCCATATCTCAAAATAAAAGATAGTAGAAGAATTACAACTTGTCTAATGAACTAATCTCATTGAGAACTTTGTTCATGCAAAATTTCAAGCCGAAAGTCAATTAAAGGGACTACAACTTTTCGTTGAGAGTCTTAGTAAAATTTCAATATCTCAAGAATGAAAGTCCAGAAAACCAAATCATTCTAAACTTTTCTATTACTCATCAATACTCATCTAATAAGCATCCTCTGTAGAAGTTACAGAAAACTTCAGATAGAATACATGTTTTATTTGTCATCGTCTTCTATGGCTAATAGTTAGACTTTTTAATTCTGAATATTACAAAAAAAAATCAATATTAGTACTTCTTTAAAATGATTAATAACGACCTATTATATATTATCATTCCATATAAGAACAATCTCTTTTATATTTGTATTGAAACAAAAAAAAAAGAAACAGAAAGGAATGTTTGTGTTACATTACACAGATACAGACAAAGACTAGAATAAACAAGAATAGAATTGTATATATATATATATATATTTATATTTATATTTATATAAAGAAATTTTCATATATATTTTTTTTGCTAAATTCACGGCGATAAATGATCGTTTAATGGTGATGAAGAATTCGATTCATCACCTTGACTTGATTCATCGTGTGTATGAAATGGTTCTTGTTTAACAAGTCGTTTTGGTGAATTATTACCATTAACATTATTAGCAAATGGTACCATACGACTCATTATAGCTCGATAAGCAGCCATTTGTGGATCAAGTAATGATGTTGATGTATCATAACAATCAACATCAACAATAGGCACAGTTGATTTTTGTTGTGGAATATGCAAATCATCATCACCATTCATATTTTCAAAATCATTCGTTGTTGAAATATGATTATTACTATTATTTGTTATATTCAATGGCATTGATTCATCATGTATTGATACTAAATGAAGAAAAAAACAAATATATATATATTTATATATAACATATTACGTTAATGAGAAATATAAATTTATTATATACCTCTTTGGCTTTTAGCCATTTTTCGTTTATTTTGAAACCAATGTGTTACAATAGCATCGGTTACACGGTCACGTTCATTCAATACTTCATTATTACCTTCAACACGTGTTCGTGCATCATTACATATACGAGCTATATCTTCACGGCGACGTGGATCAGGATATGGATTATCAAGAAAAGCTTTTTCGAGAATCTAAAGAAAAAATAAATAAACAATTTATTTATATTTTGTTTTTTTATTTTTAAAAAAATTTAATTCAATAGGACTTTACATCAAGATGTTCAGGTCGAAAAGTAAATCGTGTACGTTTTGGTGCATCAAATGAAACAGGTGATACATTATTATTTGTTTGAGATTCACTAAGACGAGGCACTTTTGTTGGCGGTTCACATGATGATGTTAAATTAGCAAGTAATTCAGCAGATGGTGGACCGCTACCTTAAAAACAAGAATACTCAATCAATAAATGCATAAACTTCATATGGTTTAAATATTCTTTTATATTCAATTGAAGTGTATTATATACTATCGAATAAGCAATTTCAAATCAATAAGTCTCATAGTTTAGAACATTCAATATGGTACGTTTGTATGTACTACCACTGATATACCAACAGTAGATGATCAGTCGGAGAATCGCTATCGGTATGTCCCAGTATTCATAAGTAAATTGTTGGCCGAATAATGGTTATTGGAACACCGCGATACCCATAAGCACTGACAGTAGATTGTTGGTCGGATAACAACTATTGGTATACTGTGATAGAACGGG